TGCAGCTTTGCGAATGTTATTCAACATTAGGCGTTTCTTCATAGTCGTCTCACTTCTATGCGACTTTGCAAGATAGATCAGCTTCATCAATCGCGATATGATAAGTACGTTGATAACGTATCACATTTTTTTTTATTCTTTCGTCTCTTCACCGAGTATGAAAAATCTACTTGAGTCTATGCTCGATATAATTTCAGTACTAACAATGGTTATCTAGTGAGAATTTTAAAAAACCCAATATTTATCTAATAAATTCTCATACCTTTCCTAGAGCAGAGGGATGCGAGAGTCGTGGATGTGACCGACACATTTTTTTAATATCAATTTTTTGATCCGAAGATCGGTTTTAAAACCATTTGCTCCGATACCAAATTGTAACACCATAATCCATCCAGGTCTGCAGCCCCATTCGGACTAAAGTATTTAACTTGGTAATCGTAAAAATTTAAAACTTTTCAAACACACTTTATTAATCCCAATAATATTTTTCATAACATATACAGTACGGAGTATTCAACAATATTGCGGAAGCGATTTTAGTATTGACATATCATAAATCATTTCAAACTTGTCACATCCATCCCGACAATCTCGCCCCATCTACCGCCAGGATCACAATGTTCTTTCTGCTTACCTGCGTGTAGCAAATAAAAGACACTACACGCTCAGCGGTAAAGCTGAGTAAGCATATCTAATGCGTCGAACATCCATATAAACTGAATCTAAATTCATAATCAAATCATTTGATATCATGCACACAATGTTCATTTCAGACATTCACAGTTTTGGTATTGTTCAGTTCATATCATTACATTTTATTCAATTCAGATACTATTTCAATAGTGCTCTTAAATTATTCTTAATCTAAGGCCAGATTATAACAATGCTCTTAGCTATTCTTAGCCTAAGGCCAGATCATAATAATGCTCTTAGCTATTCTTAGTCTAAGGCCAAATCATAATTTCCATAACCAGATTCTTTTAAGGCAATTATTAATCAGACACTTAAACTATCATTAGTTTAAGGCAATTGATTNTTCTAGATAGTTTTAACATCAATTAGCTAATAGGTATATCTTAAAGTCTTCTAGATATCCTTAACAATACAAATCGTTTAATAATTATCAATATATTAATTATACTCATGGCTCAATCATCAATAATCATTTTGATTAGTTAGTTCATCATTCTTGATCATCCATAATAATCATTCATCATAATCATTAATCAACATAACAATTGATAACAAATAGCGATCTAGTTTTTTGTGTTAACACTCTAACTTACCGTCATGCATCACATAATGTTTTATATGCCTAAAACATCATTTTTATTATACAAAATCATATTTGTATTGTTCATAATTAATTGTTATCAAAAATAGGATTTTAGAGCATATTTTCAGGAACATTTTCATCGTAGGATCTAGAATTTGAGGAAAATAATTTAAAATAATCAATTAATTTATAAAAATTGATTTATATAATTTTATATAATCCATTAATTCATAATAATCGATTTTTACAATTTAAATAATCAATTAATTCATTAAAATCGATTTTTAAAATTTAAATAATCAATTAATTCATTATAATCGATTTTTCCAATATAAGTAATTGATTAATTCATAAAAAATCGATTTCTACAATTTAAATAATCCATTAATTCATAATAATCGATTTTTACAATTTAAATAATCAATAAATTCATTATAATCGATTTTTCCACTATAAGTAATCGATTAATTCATAAAAAATCGATTTTTACAATTTAAATAATCCATTAATTCACAATAATCGATTTTTACAATTTAAATAATCCATTAATTCATAATAATCGATTTTTACAATTTAAATAATCAATTAATTCATAATAATCGATTTTTACAATTTAAATAATCAATTAATTCACAATAATCGATTTTTACAATATAAATAATCGATTAAATGGTACTGACTTCGAACCACTAATCTGAATAAAATTCTAATCGATTTTTAGTAAGTAAATAATCGATTTTCGACCACTGTTCGTCGTCTTCTTCCTCGAGTCAGTTTTAACATTATCATTTTTTAATCACCAAACTTCAATTTAATTATATAAAAATGTTCTCCAATGTTCACAGATCATTTTAGAGTCATTAATTCGTAATTTTAACAACAATTTCATGGTTTATGATTCTTGGTTCTTCAAACATGTCAAACACAAACCTCAACCAAACGATCGTTTATGAACGTAGAAACGATCTATACGAACATTCTAGTCACTAGATATATCTACGGGCTTACCTCGAAGCTTAACGGAGGTTTTGGAAATTTTCCGGCGAAACTTCCGGCGATGATTACTCCCCACTCCGGCGACTTCGGCGGCAACCAACAACACCAGACTGCTCCCTTCACTCTTATGAACACAATGGTATAATTTTTCCAGAACATTGGTGCAAGATTGATAAGGATGGAGTATCCTTATATAGAAGAAGAGAAGGGGAAGAAGACATTGGTAGCTGACTCATTTCTACGTAGAAATTCCTTGGTGCGCAGGACGACGATTCTAATTGATCCACACACCGTTCCCTGATTGGGGCCAATTTGGTTCCAGTCAGGGTACACTTTTGGTCCAACTTTCTCCGAATTGAATTCCGTTTGCACCGTTGCGGTCAGACAGTTAAACTCTATCCATAAATATAATTTTTATATTTATTTGTAACACTTTTTCCGACGTCATATTTTTGGGTGGTTGACTTTGAGAGAGTCAAAATTGATTTAATTGACTTTTATTCAAAAAGGTTCTCACATTTAATTCATATTATTTATTTCTATGATTTATTTCAAAATATCATTTCAATGTTCACATTATAAACAATTTCTTCATTTATTCTTAATTTGGGTCTGTACTCAGGTTTCCAATCAAGACCACACAAAAAGTCAATATATTGGATTTATCTCTATGAGATTTATCCAGAGTGTGATAATAGATATCAAAACATATTTCGTATCGGCCCAAAGCCCAACAACAATTTATTTTAATCAAAACAAATTTGTTTAATCGAATAATTATTTAATAATAATTCTAGGGAGGAGGGAGGAGGGGGAGAGAGAGAGAGAGAGAGAGATGAATAATGTGCAAGAAAAATGGAGGGGAAAGAGAATGGAGTATTTGGATGAGAGATATTTTTGGAAGGGTTGATAAGAAAAAGTAGAATGGAAATATCATTTCCGGACAAAAAAACATACAATGGGAACATCATTTCCAGACGGGGGAGTATAATATATAGAAATGAGGGAACATTATAATTGGCCTAATGGACTTGGACCCATATAAAAACTCTAAACTTTATTCACTTTAAAATGTTAAATAATAAATACAAATTATCTATTAGTTCATTAAATACACTAATCACCATGCGTATCAATTCTGAGACTCACATTCATGCTTATTATATATTACTCCCTTCGTTCCTTTAAATTCTTCCTATTTTGACTTTAGGCCAAACTAAAGAAAGTGTACTATTGGTTGACTTTCCAATTGTTTCCCTGATGTGATGAGTAAAAATAAGATGTGATACTCCCTCCGTCCACAAATAAAGTTCTCATTGCGCGTTACGATGTTTGACTGAAATTATTTTCAAATCATTTTATATGAAAAATGGTATGGAATTAAAAAATAAGAATTACGAGTACATATTTAAAAACTACATGAAAAGACCTACAAAACTAGAGGTGACATGACTATATTATTTTATCAAATAAGACACAAAAATAGGCCAACAAAGTGAACAAAGTTTGACCCTGTGAATAGTGAACGAGAACTTTATTGTTGGACGGAGGGAGTATTTTGATTTTTAGTGAAAAACCATGATGTGATAGGTAGGGTATAAAAAGGTAGGGGCATGTTCGATGGCTATATCAACTACCGTAGGAACAGTGGTGGACGACAGAGTGCTGGACAAGGTAGACAGATCGACTATGGGCTGGGTGGATGGACGGTCCTCGACAGGAAGGTCGGGGAATGTTGCTGTCGGGAAGTCCCCATGTGACGGGGGACGAGGATGTGAAGGAGGAGACGGTGGAATGGCAAATGGGAAGGTGGACTCATCAAACGAGATATCCCGGGTATGAAAAAAACGATGTGTCTCCAAATTGTACACACGCCATCCTTTTGTACCATAGGGATACCCAACAAACACTCATTTGATACTCCGAGGTGCAAATTTGTTTGGGATTTTTTGACGAACAAAACATAAACACCCAATATACTCAGAGATGACTCAACTCACAAGGTTTTTAAGAAAGAATTTCAAGAGGAGATTTGTTACCGAGGAGTTTTGTTGGTGTACGATTGATGAGATAAGCAATAGTTTTGACGCATTCGCCCTAGAATTCAAGTGGGAGAGACGCTTGGAACATGAGAGCCCTTGCCACATTTAAAATGTGCCAATGTTTTCGTTCGACACGACCGTTTTGTTGAGCGGTACCTACACAAGAGGTTTGAACACAAACACCCATTTGGTCATAGTATTGACGTAAAGAAGAATTAAGAAACTTTGTAATGTTATGTGAAAGGACAATTTTTATGGTTTTTGAGTATTGGGTTGCTATCATAGAGAAGAATCGTTTGAGACAAGAAGTAACTTCACTCTTTTCTTGTATGAGATATACCCAAACAGCCCGTGAAAAATCATCAACAATGGTTAAAAAATAGTGTGCACCCATAGCCAAAGAAGCAGAATATGGACCCTAGATATCACATTGAATTAAATCAAATACGGAATCAACTTTATTTGAACTAGGAATAAATAGAGTACGAGTTTGTTTTGACATAAAACAAATTTCACAGGTTTGCAACTTCTTAATAGTAGAAGTGTGATTATTAGAGCCAATATGACTACATAAATATAACGAGGAGAGGGATGACCCAAACGTTGATGAAGAAGAACCGGATCAACGGTGGAGACAAGAGCTTGAGCTCACGAACTGCAAAAGACATAGACCCCGTGTCGCAAATCACCCTGACCAATCTCCATTTTCGACGAACGGTCCTGTATAACAAAGTTCATTAAAAATTACGTGACAAGAATTATCACGAATCAAACAACCAACAGAGATCAAATGGCAATTGAGATTAGGCACAAAAAGCACTCCAGACAAAACAAGATTGGAGGCTAATTGCACCCTTCCTTGTTGAGTAGCTTGAACCTGGGAACCATCAGGCAAACTAATCCCTCAAGGAGGAATAATGGTAATATCAAACATATGTGATTGGGTTCCTGTCATATGATGAGACGCTCCGCTGTCAATCAACCATTCACAAGAAGTAGGAGACATACCATTATATTGACTGGACACGAACGACTAAAGAAGAGACATAATGTGTGCCATTTGATCACTTAAATTAGCGGGGGCTTCACTATTGACTGCATTAGCCGTGCCGCTGTTGCTTCAAGTCGAAGGGTTTGTCGGACTGCTGTTGTGTCCAGCGCTGCCAGGCCCATGGCCAAACCCTCGACCAGCACTGGACTGGAGCCCGCAACCACCACCTCTTCCTCCACCACCCCGGGACATGGAACCTCGACCACGTCCATAACCTTGTGGAAAACCAATAAGCTCAAAGCATGTATCAACATTGTGATTCGTACGCCTACAATGGGAACACAAGAAACGACCAATGGGGGGCGTCGGGCTGCGAACGCCACTGCGTCAGTGCGGTCGTCACGAGTACGAATAATCGTACGATGATGTTCTTCTTGAGACACCAAATAAAATGTCGTATCCAAATCTTAGACAGGTTCGTTCCCGATGATTTGACCACGCACAGTGCCAAATTGCTCATCGTCCAAACCAATCAAAAAAGCTAGTCTTCTCATGTTCTGAATGTGCTCGTAGAACCGCAGCCGCATCACACTTACAACCACCAGTTGGATCATGACAACCATACAATTGATTCCAAAGAGTGATGAACTGATTATAATAAGTCACTACAGTTTGGCCCTTTTGTCGCAGCCCATTTAACTCACATTTCAATTGATAAGTACGTGGACCATTAAAACCGCCATAACGTTTCTGGAGATCATCCCACAGTTCAAATGCAAGTTTGTGAGATATAATACTTCGTTGAATAGATTCATCGATACTATTGCAAATCCAACTACAAATAATAGAATGATTGGACTCCCAATGGGTGTAAGAAATTTGACCTTACCACGCCCTCCGAGAGCATTTTGAATAGCTTTCTCCCATACATCATAATTATCACTTCGAAGACAATATTTGGTTAAAGAATTACCCGGCCCTTCAGAAGGATGAAGCTAAGGTAGTAAATTGTGGATAGGTCATGAATGGGATTAGTTTTCTTTGCAGACAAGGTGGGATCTGCGATAGGAATTGGAGACACAATTTAAGCGGCTTCTGCGCAGGAATTGGAGACGGAACTTCAAGACCAGAACTGAAGATTGGAGACACAACCGAATTGGAGATGGAGTGGCTTTATGGTGGGATCGGGGACGGAGACGGAACTGCTTTGCAGACGGAACTTCTAGGTCGGAACTGCTTTAATTTGCAGACGGATGTTGTGCAGCTTGGACCAACTGTGCCGGGACTGCGTACGGACAGACAGACGAGCAGCAACCGGCGAAGGACAACAGGGACTGGACGACCGGATCTAATCTTGACTGGCGGAAATTTGATCGGAAGACGGTTGTTTCTGCTGATCAAAAAAAAAAATTGGACAAAAATCAGCGATCCGAAGCAATTGGACGGATTTACAATTAATACAAAATGTTCTCCATAAAGAACACATTATTTTCCAATAATTAAAGTTTACAAATAATAAATTTTTGTATTTTGTGACGGTTTTGTTTGTAAATTTACATTTCTCATTACCAAATGTACTACCATAATAAAACTTGCTCCATAATTAAAATTAATACACGATAAATTCAGACGAAACCCTCAAAATCAATTTCAAAGAATTGAGATCGGAAGGGGGGAGCGGAGAATATACTCCGTATTTATTTAAAAACATACTCCATACTCCACTCCTTTCATGCATGTGAACAAGGAAAGATTGTCAGTTCGCCATCACAGGCCATTCAATCCCCGCATCCCACCACGTTTCTAGACGTAAACAAAAATTATTCGGGGTTTAAGTTTTTTCCCGAACCAAAATAATTAAAATTGAATAGTTCGGTTAGATCGAAGACCTAATTGACAAATGTCCTTTTTTTTGGAAATTTTTCTTCTCTAGAACTTAACATAAACTGCTTTTTTGTTAGACAATAGTAATAATTATCTCTATTTTGGTAGTCTTTATGTTTTCGTCAGCTTTTATTATTGATTTCAAGTCCTGATTGGGATTTTATATATATATATATATATATATATATATATATATATATATATATATATTCTATCATGTATTCCTTAATTTTTTGTGTAACAAAATTATAACATTATTCAATATGGTATCGGAGCAAGAGTCTCTCCGCCACCGATCCAACGAGCGTGCCTAACCCTTTCTATTTAATATTCAAGACGCCCCAATAACTTTTTTTTGTGTCTTTTTTATCATTAGTAATATAACAAAATAAAATATTCTAGTGAGTACTTGTTTTGTAAAAATTTTTATATAATTTTTAAATATATATAAGTTTTACTTTTTATTTCTATACCAATTTATAAATAAAATCATTTTTAAAAAGATGAAGTTTTTCACGTAAAATTGAAATAAAATTTCTCTTTTGATTTCAAACAAAGGGTTAATAATTGACTTAGAATTCAATTTCACCTAATTCGATTCCATAGAATTTCAATTCAATTTTAGTTTTGTGTATCAAACACAATCTAAGTTGAATTAGTTTATGTACTATGACTTCGTACAAAATACACCGTAACTAATTAGTTACATTGTTATTCTGATCAATAATTTCAATTATTTTGTATCAGATGCCAAATAATCAATCAATTTAACTCAATAATTAAACAAGATATGCGATATTTTCAGCAAAAAAAACTAAAATTGCAAAAAGAGAAAGGAACATTTTTTTTTCAATTAGGGGCTACTTAAAAAACTAAAATCGACCCGGTTCTAGTGGCACCGGAGAACTAAAGTGGCCACTAGCGGTGCCACTGGGTTTTTGGGGCACCTCCGGTGCTCCGTTCGTAAAATTGATGGTTCCTACCCCCCTAACCCACCCCCCTAAACCCCCCACCCTACCCCACCCCTGCACCCCCACTCCAACCCCGTCGTCCACCTAAGATCAAACTTCACTCACTTTGTTTGCTCATTTTTACTAGTCATTTCGTAAAATAATAGTCTTGTCACCTCTAGTTTTGTAGAACTTTTCATGTAGTTTATTACTATATAAATTTTATTTTAAAATTTTAATTCTATAATCAATTAAATTGAATTAAAAATAAAGTCAGTCAAGCCTCGTAACGTGTAATGGGAGGATCTTAGGTGGACGGAGGGAGTAAAAAGAAAGAGAGTATGTAGGTTAATTGATTGAAAAAGGTAAAGATCAATAGATTTGAAGAGGAGAGAGTGTGTAGATTGACGGGAAACGTAGGGTAGATTGTAGGGCTAGGTTGGGAAAACCAAATATCGCAAATCGAACCGAAACCAATCAAAACGAGTTAGAAAAAAAATCAAACCAAAAATCGAACTGAACCGTTATTGTTTGGTTTCCGTTTTGGTTTTTACTTTGGGAAGTCGAATCGAACCAAACCGAAAAAACTTAGGTACTTCGCTTTATTTATATGTGTATATATGATATATGTAACAAGTCGATTAAAGTTATTTTTTAACTACTCCCTCCGTCCTATAATGATCTTCCCGGTTCTGTTTACGAAGTTTGACCGACTTTATTTTTAATTCAATTTATTTGATTGTAGGTGTAAAATTAAAAAATAAAATTTATATATTTAAAAACTACATCAAAAGGTCTACAAAACAAGTGACAAGATTATATTATTTTATCAAATATCTAATGAAAATACATAAAGAAAGTGATTAAAGTTTGACCGTGTAAATAGTAAGCGGGAAGAACATTTCAGAACGGAGGGAGCATTAATTAACAATTTTAAATCATATGATTAACTTTAAAAAAATTTAAGAATATAAACACCAATAAATAATCCTAATACGAAACTATATTAACATTAAATATTGATACGAGTAATTTATATATTTAGATAAAAAAAACTTTGATGTTATAATGGAAATGAAAGTCCTATACCAAAAAACACAAATTCTACGTATATTTACATACGATGTCTTTCGGAGTATTTTTGGAATCTCCTAAATTTTTGTTTGGCACTCGACACATTTTTTTATAAAATTGAACCAAACGGCACACTAACCTTCTGTTCAATTTTTTATTTTGTATAAAAATCAAACTAAAAAACCGAACCCAAAGCTACATATTTTTATTCCTTCATCAGCTTAGTATTTTTACAATATTTTTAATTCTTATAAATTTTTATTTTTATAAACAGAAAAACCGCATAAAATCAAGCCGAATTACGAACGGTTTACATATTTTTTATGTAAAACGGAACCGAACTGAACCACCACCTTACTTTCCATTTTGTCTTTGGTTTTGGCTGAAAACTGGCCCGCCAAAACGAAACCCACCCCTGGTTGAATGTGTTAAAAAGAAACTGTGACTTTAGTTTTAGACTTTTAGGATGCTCGATTTAGAAAGTGCAACTCTTTTTTTAGGATAGAGAAGAAATCATTACTTTGTTCATACTCCGCAATAAATAATTCAATTTCGAATTATATTGAAATAATTATTTTGTCTAGACTAATGCTTAATGAGAAGTGATTTCAACAATTATACTCCCTCTTTTCACAAACTAACTTTACAATAGATTTACTCAATGTGCGGACCGTGCTAGTTTCAGGCTAGAGCGAGACGTTACATTACAAAAACTTTTACGCGCGACTCGGCCAATGTAGCAGGCCTAGCAATTGAAGCTCGAGCCCAGTCCGCATGAATACCCATGGGCTTTGGATCAACTTGATGAATATAATAACTGATGAATATACTACGGAGTATCAAATAATCAACAAATATATACAATGCATTTTGTTTGATAATGTTGCTATTACTTATTCGAATGCTATTATCAAAGTGCGATTAATAATACCAAATGAATTCGTTAGATTAAATATACCATTAATTTTTCTAAATAGAAATATATATGCGTAATAATACTCCGTAGTAAATAAAATTGTCAATCGTACGAAAACCAAAAGGTAAGTATTTGAATGTTTATTGTTTAAAGACTTCCAAAATCAAATCTGAAGCCGCCTCAAAATCAAGCAATTGTGTTTTTTTTGCAAATGTGTTAGTTAATATAATAGATGTGTCTAGATAGTTTTGCTATATATATATATATATATATATATATAAACACACATACATATATATACATGCATACATACATATATATACATATATATATATATATATATATATATATATATATATATATATATGAGGGCCTATTGGTATGCCTAAGAGATATACTTGGCCTACACTTTGTCCCCCGCTACCTTGCGCCGCTCGCCACTATGCTCCTAAAATATTTTTTATATAGTCTCAAAATATCTTTTAAAATATCATTTTTTAATATTAATAATAGAAAATGTTTTTTTGGAAAAAAAATGCAATCAAAGAATTAGAAAATGTGATAGGAGAATAATTTTTCTTCAAAATCATTTCCCCATGAAAAATAATTTTGGAGGGAAACAGTTTCCCCCAACCAAACGGAACCCTAATTTCAAAATGTTATGCGGTACATGATTGATTCGTAAAGTCTATCAGGCTTATTCAATACTTCGTACCAGAATTTCCAACATAAAGCTCAACAAAATATTGAATCCTATATGGCAGTAGATATTTGCATATTCCACAATTATTTATACCAAGGTACATATCATTTTCTACTATAAAAATCTACGTATACAAATGTAGTGAAAATAATTACAGTAGAACATAACTAGGGCCGCGACGGTCCTGAGCCTCCTAAGTTTAAGAGGCCCCAAATATTTTTATGCAGTGTTATGAGTAGTCTAGAAATACAATTTTAAGTCCAAAAAATATTTTTTACTCATACTTCTTCATATTTAAAGATAGAAAGCTATTGTACAAGATGACTACTAATATTATATTCACACATTCGAATGTCAAGTACCGACACAATTCTCAACTAGTTTCATTTAGGGTACTTTAATCTTTTTTACTTATATTTTTTCTTTATATACAAAATTTGTTATATCTACTTGTATTTAAATTTTAATCTAAAATGTATTTTAACCTTTAGCTATTAATTCTTGGTAAGACCCATTTTTTCATCACCCGGAGCCTAGGAAATCCTAGGAACGAGCCTGAATATGACTAAAAAACTCACATGTCATAATATAAGAACTTTAAAAGTTCAATGATGTCTTTAAATCCCAAAATATATGTTAATAGGTAGATTGGTGACAGACCATCATTATCATCAACAAATTTAAGATTCTAGTTCAGAAATATGGAGAACAAAGCCAACTAAATTACAAATTGTTGCCAATGTTTCAACTTCAAGTGGTCAAAAATCCAAGTTCAGTTTTTACCTTTACCATCAAATGGCACGAGAAAGTCAAGTCCGGGACACATTCCAAGAGGAACTAGTGCCCGAAAATACGTAAGAGGAAGGATTATCTTGGCATAAAGAGACCACAATATTAACTAAAATCACACCTGCATCATATTTCTGACCTGGCTGTGAGGTAATCCATTCATGCAAATTTATATTTTCTCCCTTGGGAAAGCAGCCAAAAGTTGTTTCTCGAATTCCAACAAACTGAAAAGGGTTCCCGTACAAATTATAAAAAACAAGTTAGCGAACAGCACATTGGGCCGGGCCTTCAAAGTTCCAAGCCGAACCACAATTAATATTCAAAGAGGAGAAGATTATCATCTCACATTTCATACTTCCTAATAGCTTCAGCTTGCTTTACTTTATACACTTCATTTTCTTTTGGTAGGCTGCTCACATCATTACTTACACTATTACCTGCAAAATGTATGTGATAAGCAGAGAGACGGAAGGAAAAATGAAACCCGAATTAGGGTTAAAAAAATGTCATGCCGATCAAAGAGAACTTGCAAATTTCAACCAGCTTACCAAGGAACCAAAAAGTAAACTTTTAAATCGTTCAAGAAAAAAAGATCACCCAAAATCATGGAAATGATGATTAACCATCAAATTATGCCATAATCGTCGATTGATTGAGGATGAGAATTTTGACCTAATGTACAGGAGCATGCCCAGAACAAGCTGCACTGTCAAATAATCAATGGGTACCGAGCTAACAAAATGTGATGGGTAAAGAATGAAAGGGAAATAGACCTTGTTTCCATTCGGAGCCGTACTTCCTGATATAGTTTTACAAAATTGTTGACCCTAATTAGTGTGTTCCCAAATTGTATGGGCCCAGCCAATATTAGAGTACGTCTGTGTACATACAAGTACTCCGTGTGGACTTCTCTCTGCTCTACCCTAATTCTCTTTGTTTGTGTAGACTGTTTATCTTTTCAAAATATTAGTCTTTCAAAGCATTAGCTTCTTGTAACAAGACCAGGGTTCTGACTGAACCATTCAAACCTCTGCAACTGGCATCCCGACTTTCTGAACATAGGCACAATCCAAACTCACTGGAAAAATCCAAACGCCGTCGTCTTTGTTGCCTACGCATACGCCACGACCTTAAGCCACCTTCGTTTCCAGCACCAGCACTTGCTTGTAATTCTAAAAAACCGTGTGGCAGTAGCAATCTTCCCGCTGTAGAATTCTAGCCAGCCTAACTCACAGCACTCAGCAGGCCTTTGAAAACATAAACACTAAGTACTCACGAATGAACTCGGACTCTTGGGTATAAAGAGAGAACTTTGTATGGAACTCTGAAAGGTGCTTACAATGCTCTCGACTTCGTTGTGTTTCATGGGAAGGGATATTTATACTTCTCCACCTCCCCAACGAATGGCTAAGATCTGCTTGATCTAACCATTACAATCGTGCGTCTAGAATTTTCTATGCAAATGTCAAGATATTTACACATCTCTACATTTCTCTTATGGTATGTTTGGGAACACGGATTTAGATTTCAAATCCAGATTTGGCTCAAATTCCATGTTTGGGAAACTTAAAAATTTTGAATCTGGATTTGAGTCAAATTCTTCTCATTCATAACAAAGCTTAATTTAAAATCCATGCACCTCCCCTTCTCATTTGAAATTTAAGATTTCGAATTTTGGAATTGAAATGCATGAATTGAAATGAAATGCTAGTTGCCAAACACTACCTTAAGAATTTTGGAATCTTCCAAGATCCTGAATATAGTCCTACACAATTCGAAATGACTCCCACGTCTGGAAATTACTCGATGGGCCAAAACCTCTGACTTCACGTTCTGACACAACACAAATAATGGTCTGCACATTTTTCCACTCACCTCTATTCAGATCATCCTTGTCTTCTTTGAATGGATTTAGCACGCTCCAAGCCTCAAATGAACAAATGGGATGCATCTCCTAGTGTAAGGCAAAGTCAAACCATAGGCTAGCTTATCGGTAAATTTCTCCACGGGAGACGATCTCTGGACTTGTGTAGAGAACTTTGTGCAAGGAACCTCTGCAAATTTGGGACACAGCGCATGGGCCTCAACCGCTTACTAGAATCTTGATCGGTTGGCAGCATCAATGCCCTATCTTCTGGTTTTTTGGTTTCATACTGCTATTTATGCTCAGGTTTATATGTCCTCAAATTTTGTTGCCCAGGTAACTGTTGCATGTTGTATTGGCTTTGCGTGTTGTTGTCCTCAAATATGCATCACTAACATGTCATACATCCCCTGCTCAATAAGAATCAAAGTTAAGTTCCACGGAGAATGAGGTGATGGATGGACTGACACGAGAAACAGGACTCCACTAAAACTTTTGGTAAATAGTCCTAAAGGTATTGTCTTTCAAAATCAATTGATGTATCTTAAATATCTAAAAAACAAAATCTCTACGATGTTGGATGATGTTCTAGAACAAATTGGGGGACTGTAAAAATTGTAATGGATAATGCAACTATTAATAAAGTAGTTGTAGATTTGTTAAGATAAGAGTAAGAAGATATTTTGGACATCATGTGTACAGTGTACCTCACTTTATGGACCATATGTTGGAGGATTTTGTGAAGAAATACTACTTCATAAGATTAAAGAGACAATTCATAGTGCCAAAAGGAATACAACTTAGTTCTATTCACGTACATGTCTTATCTCTTTATTGCATATATTAACTAAGGGGGGTGAATTGATTTCACACGGCATGACTTGTTTTGCCACCACTTATATGACAACATTAGGATGCTCGCATGGTAATAATGGATCACTAATAAGCATTGGAAAGAGACGCCCAAGGCACAGACCTGGAGAGTCATAGACTATGTGCAGAACTAAGGTCATGGTTGCCGAGCAAGAGTACAGCGGCTTAGTCACGTGACGGTAAGGGATAATGCTTAAAATTTCTAAACGGATTGGATTGGGCTTCTTAATTACTCCCTTCGTCCCATATTTAAGTTTCAAATAGAAATGTCAGCTTTGCTTTAGGACATCAATAAAAGGAAAATAGGAACTTAAATATCGGATACAACAACAACAACCCAATTGAATCCCACCAGAGCTTAAATACAGGATAAAGGGAGTAAAAAAAAATCACTTATCCATAGATACCCACACTATTCACCTTATGATTGCTCCAAGCATCTGTGCCACGCCTTCTTTAACATTCCCACACGACTCAATCTGCGGCCAGCATTCTACACAACGACCAACCCTAGTCCCTATCGCTATCTTTGTTTCATAATCTGCAGCATTGTGTAATCCTTGGAGTTTTTCCTTTGCACTTGTTCTTCATTTATTGTGTTACTTGTATTTCCACATCGTTTATTTTAAGAAAATTTTCACTTTGATTCCAGATTTTATCCATGTATAGTTATAATTATTTTAACTAGAAAAGGGTAAGGGATAGTATTTTTTAACCCCCTCAGTATAAGTGTACTTGTCCGGTTTCCTTTTGGCATTTGGACTAAGGAGAAGGGAATCAAGGGTGAAGGGTTGACTTACAGAAGCACCCTTACTTTTCCAGGAAAACAATTACCTCATTTTCTCTCCCTCGCGAAGCCTGATTGTAAAAAGAAAAACCATCATGAAGCACCTAGAAACAAAAAAACTATTCATTCGATAATCTCTTAGAAATTAAAACCCTGATTGCACCATCACAAAAAATACAGTTTTTAAACCTAAATCTCTTATTTTGACAGTAACTTCATTTTTCTTCTTCCATATTGCCTAAACTCCACTCTCCCATAAGAATTGGATAGGGCCAAATTTGTGTCAGATCCAATATGTGATTCTGTATATGCATAAATAACCCCTAGTTTTGCCTAAATCATTTTTTTCTCTTGCACACTGCGTAGGATTTTGTGATGTTCATAGTATTATTCATTTTTTAGCAATGATATTATCGTAGCAAATTCGATCTAGGCTATTCAAGGTGCAACTTCATGTACCTATCAAAATACGTCTCAGATACGAACAATAATTAATACTATACGCTGCCATATTTATTTTGGCACAAGCATTACAAGATTAACAAGTACGTACACACTACATAACACAATACAAATAATGATGTCAAAGCAATTACCAGCACACTGAATCATAGAAGGTTGTTTCTCATCCCTACTTTCAAGAAGTTGTGTTGAGCATGAACTGCTGGAAGGAGCCAATGCCTACAAAACAAATTGAAGTGTAATTATACTGTGTAATTGTAGGAGCCTAGTAGGATGCTGTAGCACTCGCTATGTTGTGAAATACAATACATCAGACACTCATATTGCAACGATGTGGATACAGATCATTAGTGTTGGCTATAGCTCATAGGTTAAAAATTGTGAAAGATCATTAGTTACATGAAAAATGACATCAACAATTCAACATTATGCAATCCCGTTGCATAACCGATTCCAAGTTCACAAGCATGCTAAGAGTGATAATTCAACGCATAAAATGAAGATTGCGGACCTCAAACGACAATTTTCTAGAAGTCTGATGTCCAGAATTCTCTGACTAGAATCTGAGTGATAACAACAGCAATAGAAACAAAAACAAAAACAATGATAATAGCAACAACAGCAAAGCCTTTATCCCAAGTAACTTGAGGTTGGCTACATGAACCAAGAGGAGAAATTTCGTATTTTAGATAAGATAGAGGTCGAGGATTAGAGTTGTGGGGTAGGTAAATAAGAGTGGTTTTACGTGTGTTTAGGGTCGTGTTGATTAACTATACAGACTGGTGTCTTTTGTGCTTGAGCCTGAGGCCTTTCAAAAACAACTTCTCTACCTTTTTCTAGGAAGGGTGAAGGTCTGCGACTCTGTGTCCAACCCACCACATAGACACACTTAGGGGATTTTCCTGAGTAGATTATTGCTTTTGTTGTGGAAGAAATTCAAAAAATAGGTCCTAGCTCTAGTTAGTTTAAGATTACTAATCCTAGTCAGGTTATGAATGTCATAGAGTAACTAGAGCCTATAAATAAGGCATTACTTCTTTTTCTTGAAAAATAATCAATTTCAGCTTAACTGCTACCTAGCTTAGTTGCTGAAGCTAACAATTATTATTTTCTAAACACTAGGTCAAGGCATCTGGCCATCAACAAAGAAAGACCGATGCACAATTGCCATAGTGATGTTAAATCACAATAGGTATCATTACCCATCCCCTCTATATTCTATACAATTTGCTTGTCAATTGCTTGAAGATTAAAGATCCCTAAACTCAAATTTATGCCATTAAATATTACGTAGCTGTTATGAGAAAGGAATGTCCTAATCAGATAATCGAATTGAATGAAATCAGTTCACTAAAAAAGCAGATAGGCCTCCATCCTTTTGAGGAGGGAATAAACAAAACCAAAATTACTTGAAAGTATAGGTCAAATCTTAAAATTACCTTCCCCTTTCTCTTTAGAATTTCCACATGACACTTTTTTATGTAATGCATCAAATGGTAACGTGAATGCCTCGAGGATAACTGATCTCTGACGTCTACATTCTCAGTAAGCCAATGTAAAATGTCTTTTGACTTTACCACCTCATCCATATCAAGTGACTCTAACCAAGAATAAACAGGCTTCCATTGATCGGTGCGTTGAAATCGGTGATCAAATGGACATTCATTTTCCTGTAATATTAGAGTTCATTGCTTAGTTCTTTACCCAGAGTGACTGTAAGTTTATTTTGCAAGTCACTTTGCACTACCGTGTTATACTACGAGCAAGTCCATGAATGAGAAAGTATTGGAACTAAAAAAATGCTCTTTTTGGAAACTATAAATATATTTTAAATTCAGAATATGGCTCAAATTCCTTTTTGGGAATCCTTGGATTTGTGCTCAAATCACAGCACACGGAAGAAAGTAGATTCATTAATACTTCAAACTTCATAAAGAATACATGGAATTTCAATTCCGTCATCTTGCTTCTCTCACATTAGACGTCACCAACTAAGAAAGCCCCTACTCCGACACAAGGAAGATTTGCAAGTGACATGGGTCTGGAAAGTTCCACAAAGCAACCTTCATTGACTAGGGTTTCTATTTTTTCAGTTAGCCTAGAGGAAGACATATTGAATCATTATGTTGTTGTAATAGTATTAAATCACCTTAATGATGTGATATGTATAATAATGTAATTATGTTCACCTAGGACTAGTGTTTAGCTAAAAATAGCAACTGCAATTTACAATCTAGATTATGAAATAGACACCACATTTCATCACATTGCATCACTGTATCACAGCCAACTATTTTCAAGTACGAACAGTATAGCGTTTTGACATGATTAAAAGTTTTCCAGAATGTATATGTCACGACTCACTGTCGGAATCCACAATCCGATCTTCATTCACCTACCCCCATAAGCCGACTACAGACAAACAAACTAACTGTTTTTTCCCATCCCACCACATTCGTACATCTGTCATCAAACTTGCCATCATAGATTCCTTGGCATGTTTCTTACACTCCAACAACTTTGCACAAGTTTTTTCGGTGTCATCAAATCACCCCCTCACCGCAAACACTGCATCTAAACACCATATGACATCGTTGATTCTAATGCATTGCCACTACCGACCATTGCAGCCAGAATTCTATTTGGATTTATCTCATCCCTGTCCAACTGTAGATATAGCATCCGGGTTCTGCAATTCTGCTCATTTGCAACTGTTCCCACCAATACTACTGAACGCTTGCTCTGCAGCTCTAACTATTAGTCATGAGTGCAGGACTAGTTCTGTGAGCATATGGTTCAAAATCAAAGGCCAATCCGCTCAATTATCTATGAATGTGACCACCATCAGAGAAAAGAAAGCAGAATAAGACTCATTACCATGTAATGTACTGTGGTGATCAATACAACAACAAAGCCTTTTCCCACTAGGTGGGGTTGGCTACATGGATCAAACAACGACATTGCGCCCTATCATGTATCATACCTGCTGTGAGATCAATACAACAACATTACCCCAGTGCCTCAAAGGCTCCCTCCCATTGCTGTGATAACAATAAACCCAAAAAATCGCCCTACTTTTCAATCATACGAACATGTAAACAGTTTTGGGCAATAACCAGACAAGTTATGCCAACGACAAGCTTGTTTTAATATGGATCCAAAATAGTCAATTTCAAGACTGGGATCTCCAAGATTTTCCTGAACGAGATGGAAGTGTTTCTCTTTTAATACAATAGTATTCAACCTATTGAAGAAGGCAAGCAACAGTTAGCACAAAAGCAACTTGTTATGGCATTTTCCTTCATGGGTCTGCATCCAAAATTACAGTCCATCCATGAGCAAATTCATTCCTGTTCCACGAATCCTAGTATCCTACAATTGTGTATGCCCTCACAAGAATTCTTCAGCACCAATTTTGATAGAACACCTCTCTGCTGAGTGTATTCTACTTGCCTCACAAGGCCATGAAGGATGCTCGGGCAACCAAAGAGAAAACCTGTGAGAACTGTCCAAAATGTGATATTTCTTGTATTCATATGTTAATATGTTTGAATGGGTACTTTTGTCATTGCTTCACCCTTTCCAATTCAATGAATTGTTAGATTGCATCATAGAATAACACCTTGAATGTCGCCTATATGCTTGCAATAGAAACATTGAGGATAATAATCTCCTCCATGGCCTAGGCCACCACACCCATGATTTCTATCACCACAATTTGATGAATAGGAGAAAAAGTGTAAGGCTTCTAAATCAGCTGAGACCTGAGAGCCAATCCCGAATGAACACATAAGCCGTAGAACTCATAAGAGATGATCGATGAGTTCTTCGACAGTAGGTTTGTTGGGCTAGGGAGAAAATGATTCCGGATAAAATCGGAGTCCTTGTGTAATCAATAAAGCACAAACCTCATATTATAAAGTTTTGCAAGTTTATTAGTACACTCACATTACAGTATGTTTTACATTATCAATAATAAATCACCTTGGTTCACATGACATTGGGAACCAATGTCATGGGATAACCCGGGGTACTCTGGTGCCCCGTTCGTAAAATTGATGGTTCCTACCCCCCCTAACCCCCCCCACCCCGCCCCGATCCAAACACACCCCCACCCCCCACCCCTTTAATTGCACCCCACAAGTTGATTTTGACTTTGGAGTCAAATTTTGACTCCAAAGTCAAAATCAACTTGTGGGGTGCAATTGAAGGGGGTGGGGGGTGTGTTCGGGTCGGGGCGGGGTGGGGGGGTTTACCGGGGGGTAGGAACCGTCAATTTTACGAACGGGACACCGGAGCACCCCCGGGTCATCCTATGACATTGGTTCCCAATGTCATGGGAACCTTCCCCATAATAAATAGTATTATCGAAGTGATCAGTAGAAAGATGAGTATCGAACATGTGAACAGTGGCCAGATTGTGGAGAGCAATATAAGGGGCATCCACAATTGTTGGCTCTTTAAAACTATCCACGTCATATGTTTTCTTTTTCAAATCATCAAAGAAATTCTCTAAACATCACAAACTCCATCTATCTTCAATCATAAGTCCTCACATTTGGGCTCACTTATTTTATGAAAAATAAATAAATAAAAACAAGGTTGCTAGTTTTGTGATGGAGGCCCACCCTTCCTCTCCTTTTCATTATAAGCTCTGGGAGCAATGTCTGGCTCCGAAGCCAAAGAGAGCCACCTTTTGGCTCCCTTCCTATTTAAAGCTTTCCAATTGACTTTGCATTGGAGTTCCCTTAAAGGCAATGAAGACATTTAGAATGAACCTTTTTAGTCTTTTTCCATAGATCATGTCCTCTATGGACAAAAAGGTAACATTAGATTAGGGTAAAAGGTTCATAGCATTTGATTGTTAAAATAGTATTGCCTCATCTTAATGACATAAGATGTATGAAGTAATTGTGTTGATTGTTGACTTATGATTTGTGTTTACCTACACGCCTGTAGTTCACAATCAAGAGTTTGAAATCGGTACATTTCATTTCACCATAAGCCTTTTCTAAAGGCAAAGGAGAAATTAAATAATTGGAAACCCTAATAGTTATGACTTTTAAAATAGTATTGCATCATCTTCATATCAAATAATAAATACTCTGTATACAACAACAACAGACCTAGTAAAATCCCATGCAGTGAGATCTTTGGGTGTTAATGTACACAGGCCTTACCCTACTTGAATAGTAGAGAGTTGTTTCCAAGAGACCTTTGTTTCAAGACAGAGAAGCAAAACGACAAACAAAAGTAGCCCGAACAAAATAAGATCACAAACAATTGAAACACACATATATAAACTAAAAACTCATACACATAGCACATATACATAAGCTACAGTCTAAGGCATTAAAGCAAACCTACAATAATTAGAAACTAAGGCCCAAAGGTCTATCCAATCACCCTAATCATACACCTCCGGACGTTCTTACTGAATGTCATATTGTCTAATCATCTTCTTCCAACACTTCCTAGGTCTAGCTCTACACTCTCACGCCCCAAACCGCAAGCTTCTTGCAACTCCTCACAGGAGCATCCGTACTCCTCATAACAAGCTTAAATCATCTCAGTCTAGCTTCCCGCAGCTCTCCACAGAGACCAATCTCGCCCTTCCCTGAATAACCTCATTATGAATCTTATCCATCCTCGTATGACAACACATCCACCTCAACATTATCGTCTCTCCCACTCAAAGCTGTCGAATGTGAGTTCTCTTCACCACCCAACACTTTGATTTGTACAACATAGCCGGTTCAATCATTATTCAATAAAACTTCCCTTTTAGGTTTGTCAATATCCTAATCAAGGACCTTTTCTCACAAAGGAGACCTGAAGCTAGCTTCCACTTTTCAAAACGAATCCAATACAATGAACAACATCTCCAACTATCTCCCCATCGCCTGAATTACGGATCCAAGTTGCAAAAATTTGTTTTTTCAGGCACTGGATGCGAATCAATCTGCACTTTTAATTCTGACTTAGTTTTCCAACCACAGAAACACCATTCTGTGTACATGGTGTAAGTCTTGCTCAATATGAAACCATTGGATTCCAAAGACTGTCCCCTACACTTTCAACTTATCATTGCGTCCCTCACGTGTATCGTCAATCAGAACAATGTCGTTGCAAATAACATGCCCCAAGATACCTAACCCGGAACATGCCATCAAAACATCCATCATCAATGCAAACAAGAAAAAGACTAAGCACAGATCCTTGATGTATGCACATATCAACCGGGAAGTGGTCAACGTAACCTCCCAATGAACTCACAATGGTCCTTGCCTCATCATACATGCTTTTCACCACACGAGTGTAAGCAATCGGTAACCCTCTGAACTCTAAGCACCTCCATTAAATCCCCTTAGAAATCCTATCATGCGCCTTATTTAGGTCAATAAACAACGCGTGCACGTCTCTCTTATTGTCCATATGCGACTCCATTGGTCTCCTCAACAATCTCATTAAGAAGTGAATGGCCTCAGTGGTTGAATGGCCAGGCATGAAACCAAACTTAACTTGAGAAATGTCCACCTCCTTCCCCAATTCCGCCTCAATAATATGTTCTCATACCTTCATTGTGTGACTAAACAGTTTGGTGCCTCTATAATTATAGCAACTTTGGATATCACTTTTGCTCTTGTACAATGGGACCACCATGCTCTCGCTCCCCTCATTGGCCATCTTAGTCCTCTTGAAAATAACATTAAATAACATGGTGATCCACACCCACCAATTGTTGCTCACAATCTTCTCTAATCTAGGTCTCTCCCCTCTCCTCCTACGAAAGGCCTTCACCACATCTTCGTGTCTAATGCACCTATGTGATAATACCCAAAATATTAATGTCTCTTCGACTACCCCAACTCAACTAGTAGTAGACTCACGTCCCTTCCAACATTTAGAAGCCCATAAAAGTACGAATACTAATGGTTCCTCACCTCCACCACACTGAACAACACCTTGCCAATGTCGCCTTGAATGCATCTCACATGCTCCAAATCTCACGCCTTCCCCTCATGCACCATAGCAAGTTGAAACAATCTCTCCTCGAATTCTCTCTTCCTCGTTGTTCTATGTCCCTATACAGACATTCAAAAGTTGCATTATAAGCCATCAAACAGCCAACTTAGCTTCCTTGCAATCTTATACTCCTTTGGTAATGACCCCTACCCTCCACATCTTTACACTCCATGGGCTTCTTGAATGCCGCTTTCTTGGCTTGAACTTTCCCTTTGAAATTCACCACTCCACCACATGATGAGTGCCACCCCACTAATCTCCCACACGCCTTTCTCTTGAACTCAAGAAGCCAACATTGGTGTATTCTCATTACCCAAGCTCCCACAACAAATGTGAGGTGGTCACCTTTATTCCTCTTCCTCGCCACCAAATTGTGACAATTATCACTAGTAACTTAGGTTGGGTTGTGAGATTATCACTCAAAATTACTTTAGGGTCCTCATGAAGCACTTTGTGACACAGGAAGAAGTAATCAATCTGCGACTTCCCCCACACGACTTCTTTAAGTGCTTAACAAATGTGAGGTGGTCCACCCTTAGTCCGCCTCAATTTGTGTTGGGTTGTAAGATTATCACTCACAATTACTTTAGTGTCCTCGCAAAGCACCTTGTCACACCTACGCAAGAAGAAGTGATCAATCTGTGACTTCTCCCACACAACATCATCAAGCAATATTCTCGCTTCTAGAAGAAAGAGTTAGTGATAAGCTCCAAGAGTGAAACCCTAAGCATTCTTTTCACCAAAACCAAACCCTCCATACACCTCCACAAAACCCTCAGCAGCACCCTGTTATGACCATTGAAATTGCCTCCAATGATGAGTTTTTTTAAGTGAGATGCCCCATATCACCACATTAAACTCCTCCCAAAAGTCCCTCTTAATTTCCTTGTCCATGCCTACTTTGGATGCATGGGCACTCAAAACATTAACGGTAGTATAGTACACCCACCCAACACAAGCTTAATCACCAAAAACCAATCACTAACCCTCTTGAACCTGGCCACAGACTCCTAAAGATCAACAAAAATGTAAACTCCATTCTTGTTGACATTTTTGTTAATCAACCAAAATGTCAACTCCATTCTTATTCTTCGAGCGCTGGAGTGATACACTGATACAAGTTGAACCCGTCTACATCACACGCCTTAGTGCCCACCCATCTATTTCCATGAACGCATGCAACATAAATCCTCCTCTTCTTAAGAAGCTTCACCAACTCTATGGGTTTACGTGTCAAGGTCCCTATGTTCCACGACTCAAACCTAAACTAGGCACTCTCCTACACCTCCATGCTACCCCTCACACCCCAGACCCCACCACAAAAAAAGGACATAAGAAAAACCCTCTAGTACTTAGCCAAAACTATAGAAGTAAGACCGCAAAAGAAAACTACCACAACAAAGGACATAAACAAACAATGCACCAACAAGTAAAGGAACAAGTGTACAAGTAAATAAGATTTAACTACTAACCCTTATTTACAACATATATACTTTATACCATTATACATTTGCATCACAAAAAAAGATTAATTTCTAAATCTCGATGATGCCTAGGATGTTTTGATCATACATGTTTTTTCATAAGAAGTACTTATGTGACCATCGACAGAGCAAAAATAGTTGAGACAAAACTACATTAATCTTTTGAAAGAAAACATGTGCAGTATTCAACACTCATGCGACAATGCAATCAGAGTTCATATTCCACTTACGCTGTGTTTAAATGTTTACGTAGATTTTAATAGAAGGAGACTAAAGTCACATACATTTACAAAGGAAGCTTCCTTGGCATCCATCCGTATATGAAGTTGTTGAGCACACTAAGATCTATTTCAGCCTTATAGACCTGCAAATCAATGCAGAGAAAATTGTTTTAATTATGTCGCAAATAATACTTTTACATTAACAGCTTTAAAAGTATTAAGACTTCAGAACCACCATAGACCTAAAAGAGAATATAAAATACATCTAAATGATGTGCCTTTTTAAGTTATGAGCCCCCCCCACCCACCCACCCAAATGGCATTACACAATTCAGATAGCATAACTAACTCAAGACAACATAAGTACCTTCCCCAACTCTATATACTTCCCCGTCATAGAACCTATGTTCCACGACCCGAATCTTAAACTAGGCCCTCTCCTAACACCCCCAATGGAGGATATGAGCTTACACCATCACTAGCCAAAACCACCCTACCTGTTCCCCCCATCACAAGAAGGGAGCCTACCAGAAAACCCGCCTATAACTAACCCAAAACAAAAGGGAGGGAAGCGAAAAAACAAAACTGTGCCAAAACAGCCGACAAAGACCGACCAAAAACCAACAAATAAAGGAAACCGTTAAACAAAAAACAACATGAGTTTAACTATGGACACTAACAAAGGACTAGCAAGATTTTATACCAGACAATACGATAAAAAAATGAAGTTCGGTGCCTCTAGCTGAGAATCTGAGTCGCGGTCCAGAAAGACCTTCCGCAGGGCGGAGGTTTGGGGGGCAGGGTCGGGCTGCGATTTGGGAATTTAGGGGACGGGGAGTGTTGTGGACGGTGGTATGTTAAGGCGGAAGGTCTGCGGACGGGCATGGGCTTGTTGTCGGACTGGGATTTGGGGTGCCAATCAGGGGAAGGGCTTTACACCATAGCTTTACACCATAGTTTTTCAAAACGGATTAAGTATTGGTTCACGGTTTAAACATATTTAAAAATTATATAAATATATATATATATATATAGACACACACGCACATACATACATATATATATATATACACACACACATACTGATGGGAAATAATACGTGGCTCGACTCACATTTTCCAATTATTTACGAAGAACAGTCAAACCAGGCTTGTTTAATAAAATAGAAGAATAAGAAAATATTTCTCTGAGATGCTCCCACTCTCTCCTATAAAAGAGAGGGTTGTCCTTAATGTTGAGGAGGCCATTTTCCTCTCTTATTCTCCAGTCCAAACACTCTTTCTCTCTCTAGAATATTGTATATTGTATACCTTATTTCTTTAAAAAAGTTTCAAGCTTCCATTAATGGCTTCTGAGCTCAATTCATGTACCGTGTACAACCCCCGATATTAATAAAAAAAATTCCCGTTGGCAAGGTACTGCCAAAAAAGGCCCGTAGTTTTCTTCCGATATGGGTTTTCACATCAAAATTCCTGTGTTTATATTTTGATGTATTTTTTAAACTAGTTTATTGTTTTTGCCCGGCTAAAAACGATATCCCGGTCGATAATTTACACCATCATTTTGGCGCCGACCGTGGGACCCGAGCTAAAAGTCATATTTTTTGTAACATCCCGACATGCGTGATCCGGGTACAAAGACCAGCAGAATAGGTTGTCACTTGATTGGCATCCAAACACAATCATTTTCAAAATAATTTAAAGCATTTAATTCAAAACATTATTTAAAATATCCATGAGAGTTAACAAAAACTGTGCGAAAGCTTTAAGTAATTAATTCAAACACAACCTTGATTCTTGCCCGAAAAGATGATAAATTCAGACTTAAATATTAATTAAATAAAATCCTCAGTCAGCATCCATCCATCTCTTTACCCTCGCTACCCTCCAGGATGGTTTTCTAAATCATCATTCCTGTTACCTATGTGTAGCAAGAGAATAAATGCCACACGTTTAGCATTGCTATTAAGTGATAAATATCTAATGTTTGACTATGCATATAGATAAACTCGCTAAAAGGTAACCACGGTTGGAAGGGCAGCGAAAATACAAAAATTTAAGCTCCCAATAGTGATTACTATTCCAAGAACACCTACTATAGCTAGAGATAGAAACTTATACTTTCTCCGGTAAAGCGGTATGAACGTGAAGTCGAGCAAAGATGTTGAAGTAGCAAGCGTAGCCGTTCAAGTGTCCGGCCTGTAACTTTTACACACGAACAATCTCCAGAGTCTACCTTAACGCTTGTGTTAGCAAGTGTTAAAGTAGTATATTAAAATATAAAGATTATTTTAGGGATAATAATAATCTTGTATATAAAATAGTAGAAAATATATCAATAATATTTTAAAGAAAATATTATATCAATTTTCTACATAAAAATACTAATATTTGGGAACTCAAATATTTTTCTACTTCCTCTCTTTATTTGGCCAAAACTTTTTTAAAAGGGAAAGAAGATAGCATTTTATAATTCAAAATGAACTAGTATCACACCCGTGCGTTGCACGGCTCCATTTATATTATTAAATTATATTCAGATCACTATTGAAGAATAGAAATTAATATATAATAGAATATAAAGTTCAGTAAAGGATTGAATATGAAAATTTTATCTCTATCACAGTGGAATATGTAATACTAATATTGATAAAAATTACATTTATTTTACAATCTCACAATAAATGTGAAACTTATTTCTTACTTATTGAACATCTTTTGAATGAGTTTAAATTTTTAAATGGATGAGATATTGCGCGTTATTAAATCTTATTTTGTTTGTCCTTACAAAACAACCGTTATTCAAGACTATTTGAATTCTTACCATTTATAGATAAGTATTTTTAAAATTTTTCATTCTAGTTTATTTCATCAATTGATTTATTTTCATTTAAAAATATGTACTTAAATATACTATGTTGAATATTTATTTCTTGCCATTTTTAGATGAGTGTTTTTATAATAAAATATATATTTCATCCGTTGATTTATTTCCATTTATAATAAAATTTATACTAAACTGTACTATGTTTAATATTTACTTCTTGCCATTTTTAGATGATATTTTTATACTAATAACTAATTTTTACTCGTTGATTTATTTACATTTATATTAAAATTAACTATGTTGAATATTTAGTTATGAATATTTTCCAAAAATAAACCCTATTGAAAAGCTATTTACTAAAATATTTATAAAAATATATACTAAAGAAAAGATGCCTCAAAGTGAGATAAGGATGTCATTTTTGAAAAAAAAGACAGTGGAGGTAAATTTTTTTTTGAAAAACGCCAATAAGCACCTACACAACGAAACACCCTCAAAATAAGCTCATTATATAATAAAAAGTTCATATATAACAAATTTTTCTAAGATAAATCTAGACCTCTCAATATATAATAAAAAGAATATATATATAATGAAAAATAAAAATACAAATAATATTATTCATTTCCCTTCTAGAATCTTTGACCGTGCCTGATAAAAATATTTATATTTATTTATTAATTAAAATTAATATATAACAAATTTTCCTATAATAAATCTAGACCATCCCTAGAAACTTTGACCGGGATTAATAAAAGTACTTTTATTTATTTAATTATAAAAGTCTATATTCAACAAATTTTCTTAAAATAAATCTAGACAACAGCTAAAACCTTTGATCATTATAAATAAAAATATTTATATTTATCTATTTATTAAAGTCCACATGTAACAAATTTTTCCTAAAATAAATTTAGACCACCCGCTGCAATTAAATGATGATGGTGTTAATCTCAATATATAATAAGCTCTTTATATTTGAAAAAATCCGTATATAACAAATTTTCCTAAGATAAATCTAGATCTCTCCATATATAATAAAAAGCATATCTATGAAGAAAAAAATACAAATAATATTATGCATTTCCCTCCTAGAACCTTTGACCGTGATTGATAAAAATATTTATATTTATTAATTTATTTATTAAAATTCACATATAATAACTTTTCCTAAAATAAATCTAACCATCCCTAGAAACTTTGACCTTGACTAATAAAAATATTTATATTTATTTATTAAAGCCCATATATAAGAAACTTTCCTAAAATATATCTAGATGCACGCCTATAAATTTCGACCACGATTAATAATAATATTTATATTTATTTATTAATTAAATTATAAAGTCCACATATAACAAATTTTCCTAAAATAAGTCTAGACCTCTCCATATATAATAAAAAGTTTTAATACGTCTTTATTAAAGTCCATATATAAAAATATTTCCTAAAATAAATCTAGACCAACCCCTAGAAACTTTGAAAATGATTAATATATAGAAAATATTTATATTTATTTCTTAAAGCCCATATATAAAAAAATTCCAAAAATAAATATAGACCGCCCCTAAAAATTTGACCGTGATTAATAATAATATTTATGTTTATATTTATTTATTAAGTTCCATATAAAACATTATATTCTTCCCTAAAATATATCTAAACATCTCCATATATAATAAAAAGTTAACACATCCATGGGCGGGAAAACTGGTCAAAGAATTCACCTCTTTTTAAATAAAGTATAGATAATGCAAAAACATATACATTTGCAAAATGCCAAAAGGACATACATCATGAAAGGTAGTGGGAGACAAAAGTCCCCACACATTATTCAATACATGTACATTTCGAAATTAAAGGGGGGAAGAATTTAAAATTCTTATCCTCTCAAATGTTTAAAGTGTATTTTATTTGACATCAATAATTTTTATGATATAAAATAAAATATCCAAAACATTTCAAAACAAGTATATAAAATATACTTCAAAATATTTTTGTCAAAATAATTGTTTTCATAATTAATATGACACTCCAAAATAAAATGTACTCAATATAATATATAATGTAATATATATATATATATATATATATATATATATATATATATATATATATCGGTTGTAATCACCAAAATCGATCGGTGTGGTAGCGCCGGGGAACACATACCTAGTTTATTGAGAAAGAAAAATTGATACCGTTACAACACATTCGGGGAGGACTAGACCAGTGCCTCGAAAGTATAAGATTAACAAAAGGATAGAAACAAAACAATTGAATAGAGAGAGACAAAACAAAGAGGCGCCGCCCCGTAGCACAACCAATTTCAAATCCCAGCTCATCTGCAAATCTGGTCTCCTCCAAGAGCGAAGGATTGCAATCCCCCCTCACTGAGCTCGGTCTGTTTGATCATCCAGCCCTTTCTTCGAAACTTCCAGCACCACAGATTAACGGTAAGATTGATGTTGTTTCTTATACCCCTATAGTTCACCTTCTCCCCTCCAAATTTAATAGAAGCATATTCTTTCCAAATTGACCATGCAATAATACCTGGAGATACTAGCCTCAGATTACCCACATAAGAATTATTTGATGATCTTAAATTCCACTCTAGTATGTGCTATTTTAGTCCTATACCCTTGTTCAGTTTAGGACCCTCACACATATTTGCCAATTCTTCCCAAATATTCTGAATCTTGGTAGATTGCAAAAGACAATGGTCCATAGTGGCTTCTTCCTGCATACAAAATGGGCATTGAGATGGGAAACATGTCATTAATCTGTTCATGTTCTCACAGAAAGGGAGGATATTGTTTTTAACTTTCCATAGGAACATCTGAATTTTTGGGAGTTGTAGTTTGCCCCAAAGGAAAGAGTCACTCAATGACATATTGGTATGAATCATACTGTGTTTATAGGCCTGTTTGATAGTACATAGTACATAATCTTGGTATTATAGTCATTGATAGAGCTAGTACATAGTACACATTCTTGGTATTATAGTCATTGATGGAGCGTTATAGCTTTATAAAGAATAAATAATACAAGGAGTATTTTCTAAGTAATGTGAGAGAGTATAACTACATGGTTGTGTAGGAGAAAATTTGGAAATTGGCCCCCTATATTGAAGGTGAAGAGTTCCTTTTATAGTGAGAGATGAGGGATTAGTTATGGAGATAAATATGGTGTGGGAGTAATTATGGTAGGGAGTGATGGGTGGAGGCACTACGAGAAAAACATGGGAATCACCATTTCCGTCGCTAGAAAAACCACCGTCAAAGTAAATACTAACAAAAGATTAATAACGGGAACGATACCGTTGTTAAGGCCAATTACCTACGGAATTATGCCTTTGGCGACGGAAATTTTCTGTTGCTATTTCAACAGCTTTTTATAGTGAGGTAGTTCCATGGTAATGAGTGAATGATGAATGTAAATAAGGAAAGTGAGTTGACTATAAGGATAGTTATGGTAGGAGGAGTAATGTGTGGCCAGTGTTTGGTGATGATAATTATGGTAATATTAATTGGGAAATTCAGGCCGAGGTGTTGGGGCCAAATAATATTTCCCGTCAACAGCATAACTAGATGTACCATTTTTCCTGGTACAGCCGGTAATTAGAGCGAAGGGAGGAGAGGCATGCATGCCGATGAAGGGGAAGTCGACGAGTGAGAGACCGGCAATTGATCAAAGGTAGAACCATAGTGCGAGGAGGAGACTGTGATCGACTGGTGGGGGTGGTGGCGTTTGCAGGATGAAACCCTACGTCGATGGTTGAGATTTGCAAAGATGAAAATGCTATGAAATGAATGCGTTGGTGGTGGTGAAGATGTTATGCGATGAGCGAGTCGATCGTGGGGATTTGTGATGAAGATGATATCTATTGTAGATTATATTTTTCCGAATCAACAGATAATGAATCGTATGTTACTTGAGAACGAGTACTACCTTATTTCAATGTGAATATTACGTTATTTCAAAATGAACACTTATATTCTGTGCGAGATTGGATACGACGTACTCCCTCCGCCCTAGAAGCATCTTCCCACTTCTCATTTTTCCATGTCTTAAAACTACCTTCTCATTTCTAAAAAAGGTGCAAAGTGACCAACATACCCCTCTTACCCATTACTCCACAATTGCATCTCTTCTCTCAAATAAAAACCTAAATCTACTCTTCGACGCCTCTCAATCTACTCGGACCTTTCTTTCCTCTGTTTTTCCGATTGCCGCTATCGGCGTCTCGCGAGTGAGCAGTAGGTTGAGTTCCTATTTCTCTTTTCAATTTACAAAGGCCCAACTTGATTTCCTATTTCGTTTTTCAGAAGCTTCTGAATTCCATTTGAATTCTTCCAATGCCAATGCTTCGAAAGAAATTGAGTTCCTATTTTTTTTTCTTTTTTTGCTTCATCACAGCGATGAAAGGGTGAGTTCCTTTTGGGTTGGGTTTTTTTAGCTTTTTGTTTTTTCAATTTCTTCAAATTGACGGGAGAAGATATTTAAAAAGGGATGGAATTGGGTTTTTTCACTACGGCTTCCATCACCGAGCAATTACTTGAGCCGCCATCGCTGAATCATTAGTGTCGACGCTTAATTACATCGCCCAATCGCCAGAAAAAGGGGGTCATTCTTTTTTGAATTTGGATGGGAGTTGGGTTGTTGTTCTCTAAATTTTAGAATGAGGGTATTTTTGGAAGGTCAAAGATATATTTACTCATTCCATAAAAATGCGCTAAAGTCAAACCGGGAAGGTCAATTTAAGATGGAGGGAGTAACACTTTATTCTAAAATAATTAGTCAACCTATCACTACACCTTTCTACATAAATTAAAACGAGCATTATCCCCATTCCATATAGCCTATCGGCCATCACAACGCTCGATCGACGAATCCCTAACTTTCCAAAGTTCAATCGCCGCTGCATCGCACGATTTCGCCCAGCCCTGCCAGTGCGCCGCCGCCCACCGGATCTTGCATTTGCGGCTTTGCTTCTTACTTCCAGTCTTCCGTGCCACGCCCCCGCTGCCTCCAGGTTTCTTTAATTAATTGTTTTCTTTAAAATTTACTCTCTTGATCCTCCTCGTCAGCCGTCATTCCATAATTACCCATAATTTACTCTCTTGATCCTCCTCGTCAGCCTCTTTCCGTCGTTAAGTAGCGACGAGTTACAAAAAACCGTCGTCAGTTAAGGATTCGTCAATCGAGCGTTGCGATGGCCAATAGGCTATATGGAATGGGGATAATGCTCGTTTTAATTTTTCTAGATAGGTGTAGTGATAGGGTGACTAATTATTTTAAAATAAAGTAATACTCCCTCCATCCTAAATTGACCTTCCCGATTTGACTTTAAGAAATGAGTAAATATACCTTTGGCCTTCCAAAGGTGGCAAAAAATATAAGCCTCCTAGGTAAATTTCTTTCAACAGTGAGTACTTGGCTGACGTCATAGCGTGGAAGCAGTCCTCCAGTGACATAGAGAAACACACGTCAATAGTGTAGATGATTTTGACCTTTTCTTTTGAGAGAGAGAGATGATTTTTGGTAAATGGATCTCTTTTCTGGTTGATTGTTCTTTGAAATTCAAGATTCTTTCTAGGCTTCTTGGATATTTTAGGAGAAATATCTCAAAAGATCACTTTTTTTAGAATATACTTCCAAAGTTTGTAGTAGGATCTTCATAGACTTTGCACGCCTCAAGCATCGATCTTTGTATGGCCAAACTAAGTCGATCCCACGGGTGGCGCTAAATGACGGTGTTAATTGTTTTGACCGGTTTTATCATTTTTACCGTGTTAAAATGATAAACGAGCCTAACAATCCCCAAAAATATGAATAAGTTTTTTAACGTGGAAACCCAAATCGGGAGAAAACCACGGGCCTTTTATGGCGGTGCCATGCCAACAGGGAGATTTTATTAATATTGGGAGTAGTACATAGTACATAATCTTGGTATTATAGTCATTGATGGAGCTAGTACATAGTACACAATCTTGGTGTTATAGTCATTGATGCAGCGTTATAGCTTTATAGAGAATAAATAATACAAGGAGTATTTTCCAAGTAATGTGAGAGAGTATAACTACATGGTTGCGTAGGAGAAAATTTGGAAATTGGCCCCCTATATTGAAGGTGAAGAGTTCCTTTTATAGTGAGAGATGAGGGATTAGTTATGGAGATAAATATGGTAGGGGAGTGAATGGTGGGAGTAATTATGGTAGGGAGTGATGGGTGGAGGCAATACGAGAAAACATGGGAATCGCCATTTCCGTCACTAGGCTGACGAAGGACTAGAATGTTGTTAAGACCGCCGCCTCTTTCCGTCGTTAAGTAGCGACGAGTTACAAAAAACCACCATCAAAGTAAATACTAACAAAAGATTAATGACGGGAATGATACCGTCGTTAAGGCCAATTACCTACGGAATTATGCCTTTGGCGACAGAAATTTTCTGTCGCTATTTCAACAGCTTTTTGTAGTGAGGTAGTTATGGTAATGAGTGAATGATGAATGTAATTAAAGAAAGTGAGTTGACTATGAGGATAGTTATGGTAGGAGGAGTAATGTGTGGCCAGTGTTTGGTGATGATAAATATGGTAATATTAATTGGGAAATTTAGGCCGAGGTTTCGGGGCCAAATAATATTTCCCGTCAACAGCATAACTAGATGTACCATTTTTCGAGGTACAGCCGGTAATTAGAGTGAAGGGAGGAGAGGCATGCATGCCGATGAAGGGGAAGCCGACAAGTGAGAGACCGACAATTGATCAAAGGTAGAACCATAGTGCGAATTGGAGACTACGATCGACTGGTGGGGGTGGTGGAGTTTGCAGGATGAAACCCTACGTCGATGGTTGAGATTTGCAAAAATGAAAATTCTATGCAATGAATGCGTCTCAATCTACTCTTCCTCCCTCTTCTTCGACGCCTCTCAATCTACTCGGACCTTTCTTTCCTATGTTTTTCCGATTGCTGCCGTTGACGTCTCGCGAGTGAGCAGTAGGTTGAGTTCCTATTTCTCTTTTCAATTTACAAAAGCCCTTCTCGATTTTTAAATCATTAGCTAAGAAAAAACAGAGTAAAAGAAGTATTCATTCGACCCCGTGCGTGGCACGGGTTAGAATACCAGTAACCCAAAAATAAGAGCTTTTTCTCTATGTTTTACCCCTATTTAGAGTGATTTAGTATCTAAAACGTTAATTTCAAATTTATAGTATTATGATTATAATTTTTAGTATTATATTATTATCTTATAAAATTTAAAATATTTTTTCATAATTAATACTCCCTCCATCTCCCATAGATCTTCCCATTAGCTCTTTTTATTTATCCAGTATTTTAATAATTAAAATATCTTAACTACACCTCACCAACCTCATTTAATACATTTCATCTATTTTCATCAACAGTATCACCTTGGATCCCATGACATTGGGAACCAATGTCATGGGATCTGGGGGTGCTCTAGTGCCCCGTTTGTAAAATTGACGGTTCCTACCCGTCCCAACTCTCCCGGTAAACCCCCCACCCCGGCCCGACCCAAACACGGCCCCCCACCCCCTTCAATTGCACCCCCAAGTTAATTTTGACTTTGGAGTCAAAATTTGACTCCAAAGTCAAAATTAACTTGGGGGTGCAATTGAAGGGGTGGGGGGCCGTGTTTGGATCGGGGCGGGGTGGGGGGTTTACCGTGGGGATTAGGAGGTGTAGGAACCGTCAATTTTACAAACGGAGCACCTCCGAGTCATCCCATCACATTGGTTCCTAATGTCATGAGAACTCGTCTCCAAGAGTATTATAGTAAACTTTCACTCTTTTTTACAAAAAGCAAAAGATGCTGCAAAGGAAGGAGTATATTTTTATTTCGACTGTACCCTTTAGCGCTCCCTGTCGGCCCCTTTCGCCCTCCATCTTGGTCTGAATGCGGTATGGTTTATCAATTTCATCTTTTGGGAAAACATCTTTGCTCTTATATCATTCAATTGAAGGATGGATGTTAGGGACGTGGTTAGAAATGTTGATTTTTATTTTTATTTTGTTCTAGTTTTGGTGCCGAAGTTTTGTTCACACTTGTCTTCTCCGCTATTCAATTTCCTCTTTTTTCTTGTCTTCAACTTTGTTCAGGTTTCTCAAGAGAAGACAACAGAATTATCGGCCTTTGTTTCCCTGGAGAAGGTAACACATACCCAAATGAACAAACTGTATTTCTCCGTCATTAGCATATGAAAGAATATACTGACTGCTTTGAATTTAAACTCTATATCTCATATTGGACAAAAATTGGAGGGCTGGTGTTGGAGGTTAAAAATGTCATACTGATGTTAATGTTTTTGCTAAATGTCATCCTAATGTTAAGAAATACAGGTTATTAACCCATGCTTTGGACGAGCTCATATAGATAGATTGTGTCCTAATGGAATTCTAAATACTGATTGTATATTTGGATTTTCTTTTAAAACAATTATTCAAGTGTCTTTTTTTGTTGAAAAAGTTAAGTGTCTTTTATTGAAAAGAAAAGCTCATGTTCCTATCTTTTGTGTGATAATTGATATCAATATTCAATGCTCAATAGAACAGAAAATAGGATTCAACTAGTCATTTTTTACGGCAATGATATCATTATTGTTTGAATGATGAATGATACAATAAAACTACATAGGCCGCATTCTTTTTAAAATTTAAGCTTCCGTTTTGGGATTTTCGTGGAATCATGAATGACACAATAAACCTACTAGTCATTTTGGCTACATTTTAACATATTTAGTTACTGCAAATTAGAAGAATATCAAGTAACTTACTTTTGTTCTTCATTGTTACCCACTGTAATTTTTTTATTAAGTTTACATAGATGGGGGCACTGCACTGCCCATAGATGATGGGAAAATTAAGTTGTAGACTCTAGTATGTTAGCTTTTGTGCAGTTGGGCCTGAGCCTATATTGCGAGGATAGAAGAAATAAGTTGTAGACCGTAGTAGTGTTGCTTTATTTACAGGAATATTGCTTCTCTGAACAATATCTGGGTTTAGTTCTGGTTTGTGTAGGTATCATATCTCTTTATATGTGAAAGCTGAAAGGCAATATTGAAGATTAAGGTTATTACATGATATTATTAGTAGCTCAAGAATAAACTACATAGATGTACAATTTAGGTATTCCACGTGCACACATATACTATATGAATTCAAAGACAATTGAAAAAAAATACAAATGAAGGACACTGTTTTTCTTTTTGACCAAAGGAAATATCAAGCATTACCCCGACCTTAATACATGGAGTACGTTATTGATAAGCTAGAGTGGCAGAGAGTCCACAAGCAAAGCTATTATGTGAGGTTTCAGGACTTTTTCAGGATGAGTGTATCCGTCTTGGTTGTGCTGATATGTAACAAACACAATGCGAGCCAGGTTCACAATACGCCAGAGTATATCTCCAGATACAGGTCTTGGCTTAAGAATTCCTTCATTCAGATCTTTTAATGCAATTTTTGCTGATTCTTGGAACTTTTCTAATGCTTCTTCTAGTGATACACCATATTCATTCATGTAGCATTCAATGCCTGTTGTAACTTGTCCCCTCTCTTTCTCAACCTGTGGTTGTAAAATTAGCAGAAATAATTAGCTAAGCATATATGATGATATATATACCATACCAAATGATATGGATTCTTTCAACAAAAAAAGAAGCAAATTATATCATATATATATGCATTTCTTACATCAAAGGTAGCGATGTCGTCGATAAGTCTGCATAAAGCTACACTCGCCTCAAGAATTTTTGGATTCTTAATTAACCACTCAAATACTTGTTCATCAGCAGACTTCACTCCATAGCAAGATATTGTGGCTAACAAATAGTAGGTGCAACTAACAAATGCATTTCTTAAGTAATCAGCAAATACAGGCTTATGTCCTTCAATAAACCACTTGGCCTCAATAAAGTAGCATCTCACAAGTTCCTTCATCTATTTAATTGAATAATAAACACAACATTAGCTTTTTGAAATGATCATAATGGATGAAAAATTTAAAGAAAGGTAGCACAATAATTGCATCAAATTGCTATGGCGAAATTTAATTACTATACTATACTTACCCTCTCCATTGCGTGTTGAACAGCGTATGATCTTCCATCCTTGGAGAGATCTTCGACATCTTCGTCGAAAAGATCTAATAAAGCTTTGTAGCTTATCTTCATATAGTTTGGAAGGCGATCCATTTGGTCAACATTCCACCTAAAGTGAATGCAAATTAATTAGTACAAACTTAAACCATTGTGCCATACTACACATAGTTTGTAAAAGTATTGAATCTTGTAGACGATTCTATATTGCGATTTACGAAAATATAAGTGCTTACTTGCATATAGCATCTGTGTAGACCTCCAGTTCTTCTATGGTACCATATGCATCATAAGTGTCATCTAGAATTGAAACAATTAAAATATTTTTGGCAAGCATTACTCGAGCCTTGGAAAATTGCGGCTCAAAATACACTCCAAGTGCCCAAAAATAGCATTCAACTGCTCTGTCCCTTGCATAAGGAAGAGTTGTCACAAAGTCTAGCTCTTTCCACCACCTACATTTGTAAGAAAACTTGAAATTTAAAACGGCATGAAGATGCACATGCTGCCTCTTTATATAGAATATATATAGAATGTACCGAAATGATAACCAGAATGAATGACTAACCTAGACACTTCGCTCAGTTCTTGTTTGTGCAGCATCTGCAGAAAGTTATAATCTAACTTTGCAAAGCGGAGCAACATGTCATTCCTAGACATAACATTTTCTTGCTCATAAACTGAAATGAAAAAGCGTGTTTCGATTCTAGGCATGCCAGTGTGCAATGGTTGCTCGAGGGCGTGCGCCACAAGCTTCTCCAGAGTGGAGTCTGATTTCAAATTTTGATTAACACATTGAAGGCGAGTCTTGGTGAAAGTGAGTGCGTCGTCCAAAACGTCATCCCCATGTGTGCTCGCATATGAAGCTTCATACAGACTCAACAAACCCTTGATATCGGAGGTATCCTTGAATTTGCTGTTGCTATCAACGAAGTTGTTGAATATATCTACATTGAAATTATTTGAGACAGTTTCCTAGTAAGTAAAGTGAATCTTATACGTCAAAACTGTAGCTACGTCCATGTTATTATACGAAATTATACTCGCTGTGTTTACCAGAAGAAATCTTGAAGCCATGTTGTCTCAGCAGGCGGAATTGAAGAGAAACAGTTTCCAAATCATCATGAGAGTGTTGTGCATGATGATGGGTGATGTAAATGTGCTGCAGTTGATCTTCAATCTCTCTCTCGAAATGATAGGCTACTCCGAGTCGTTCAAGTAAGTCGATGAATCTCAGTTTCTCTGCGACATTGTAGTTGATTGAATTAGTCAACGTCGCCCGTGTTTGCTTCTTCAAAATTTCAATCTCTTTTGCGTATGCCTCTGCAACCTGCAGACACACAACAAACCATGTTTAGATCTTAACATTATGAAGTGGTGGATCAAAAGTATAAAGCAAATTTGAAAATATTTACCTCATTGTCAATGGAGTATGAATAGAATTGGTCACCCCATAAACTGGGAGGGAAGTCTACAACGGGGCGAATGATTTCACTTTCGCTCTTCACACCCGAAGTTGCCATTGTATCGTATTGTGGATCGATTGATAAGCTTAGTTAGAGAGTTAAACTGTATATTATTGATAAGCTTTGAACTGCAAGAGGCTTGGCGTATATTAGGATGGATGAATGAATGAATATATGAATGGGAAGACAAAGTATTTATATAGTCAGTGGCAACTGTCAACTAAAGCACCACCAATATTATATTAGGGTCAATTTAGGAGGACAGTGGTCAAATAAGACCGTACTAGTGAATTGAAATTGCCGTATTTTTTTACTACATACGGATTACATGTTACTTCTTCCGTCCCAAAGTAATTTGAGTGTGTCAGATGTTTGATTGAATTTATTTTTAGTTCAATTTTATTGAAAATTGGCAAAAAATTTAAAAATAAATTACAAATATTTAAAACTATATCAAAAGTTCGTAACAAGATATGACGTCAGTATATTATTTGTAGAAAAAGTAAATGAAACTTGTCCATGCAAATAACACGGAGTAAATATACAACTTAATTTGGGATTGAAGAACTCTGGAGAAGTACATTACTCTCTCCAATTTAAATTAATCTTCTTTATTTTCTTTTTGACATGTTTTAAATTAATCTTCTTATTTATTTTTTGAAAAGTTTTTTGTGGCTCATTTTTTTTCTCTTTCGCATCATTTTCAAATATAAAATTTTTTTTTTCTTAAATTCCGTTTTAAGTCAAATTAGGATGATTAATTTGAGACGGAGAAGTATTGAATTATGGATTTATTGGGATGTTATTCGGAATTTTTTAAACTCCATACAAAGACAAAGTTGACTGGGTGACATCCTACTAGCCGCCGCCACAAGTTTTTAAGTACATCCTACTAGCCGCCGCCACAAGTACTTACTGTGTATTTTAATTTAAATTATACTCAGTAATCCAAATCTTAGAAATAAGGTCAACCAATAGCAATTTAAAATAGCAATCGATGACATAGTAAATATTCACAAAATATCCACACAAAATAATAATCCTCACATGGTGCTCAAAATCATTTCTTAGATTAAGTATTTTTAAAACATTTTTTTGGGGGCATTTTAAAACCGTTCTTTACGGAATGCATATGTTTTAAACTATTTTAAAATTTTGAACAAATTAGGCAAAATTGACTGGAGAGCACGCCAGACGTGTTACCAAATCCGGCAACTTGACATCCTATAAGCATCCTCTATATCTTTGAGCTTGATTTGACTCCAACGATATTTTTTATCCTCTGTGTCCACACTCGATTAACTTCAAAATTATTTGATGCCATTGTATTTTAAAACGTAACGATACAATATCATACTATGCTAGAATCGTTCAAAAAAATCAAACCTCCATAATTCACATATTAAAATGAAAATACAACTTTTTTAAAAAATAAAGTGTACAAAATTAAAGAATCATAATTGCAAACAAAGGATGACGAGTCTGTATTTGAAAACCGATGACTCTTTTTTCCAGTAATACAATATAGGACTATTAACGGGTATAAAATTATATTAACAATAATCATTATAATAATACGGAGTAGTAAATTTGAAAAAAGAAATAAAGAAAGAATGCAAAAAGAAGAAAAAAACAAGACGAACCTTATTCTCTTCAACTTATTCTTGTTGAAATTTAGATCAGATTAGAAATAGCTTCAAATAATACTAAAATCAAATCAAACCAAATCAAATCAAATAAAAAACATCTTTAAATATAACTTAAATCAAATTAGATTAAACCAGATCGGATCAGAACTAATCAGATCAGGTGAAAAGAACAAGCCCATAGAGTGTTACAATTTTTGTACGGATTACAACGGACGGGGAAGATGAACGGCCCCGGAAATAAAAATAAATAAAATTCTGAATTTATAATTTATTCAGAATATTACAAAATAAACAAAGTTGAAAATAAATTTCTATATCTTCAAACGGCCATGTTTTACGAGGACATTAAGGACTGGACAACGAGGACGTTAAGCACTGGACAACAAGATCTTTAAGCACTGGACAGCGATTCAAGGACGTTATGCACAGGGCTGCGAGGACATTATGCACCAGGACAGAATGCAGCGAGGTCTTTATGAACTGAACCTGCAAAAACACAACACCGTGGAAGGACAGCGGAGTCGCCGGAGCTGTCCTTAAGGTAGTAGTGCCCGCCTACCGTACCGGAAAAACGTGGGCACTCTCCTCCCAAGATAAAACCGCTATCGTGTGTGGAGATTGTACGGATCAACCACACACCAACGAACAAGAACAACGTAGGAACGTTGGCGACCAAAAACTTTGAAGGGAATTGCCGGAAATTTGGCTGGAAAACCAAGAGCTCTCTCAAAAATAAACAAGAAAGATTTTCTTTCTTTTTTTCTCTTGTTCCTCACGTGAAGCACACACCAAACAAAAATGGAGAGAGCCTTTTACCTATATAACTAAGCTATTTTAAAAGGTGTAACCTACACACCATTAAGGCTTAGTATTAAACATGGCATTTGTGGTGTGTTAATGGTGATTAATTGGCCATTAACACGTCCGTTACGCTACGCTCCGTTTAAAATTTGTCCCGAATAACCGGAGATTAATGGCCAGTTAACTCCGTAAAAATGGACTAATTTTAAACAATACGTAAAATTAATAAAAGAAGATTGGTTCAGTAAAATTGCAAAAATTGCAATCCTCACCATATTCTTTTATTAACAGGTTAACTCTGAGAATCAATTTCTCATTCACCCTCTACCATTTTTGGCGTATAGAAAACACGTCCATTAATTAACGGTTAAAACCGTTAGTGGATCTATTGACAAATATACCCTAGTTGGTCCATTTTAATGCCTATTAAAAAATGCCAAAAATTCCAACATAGACTACTTATATGATAAGATGAAGTGCACCCATAAATACTTGGTCCATGGCAATCGGTTTTAGGTTTTTGTATCTCGTTCCTGTCCCATTTGAAATCGATTTGGGTTTGGTTTGAGATGAAAAAACAAATCTCCTCTAAAAACATGATAAATAGTTTGGTACCATTACGGTCTGGTATAGTACTATACTAATTTAGTTTTTTACCCATCCTACAAGTCCCTTTGCCTGACAATAGCTATTTTTGTCCATAAAAAAAGTAAAATCTCATGTTTTTTAAATTTATTTTATTTAAAAAATAGTATAGAAATAAAATGTAAAATTTAAATGTTTAAAATTAACATAAAAAACTCTTAGACAAGACCTTAGAATTCTGGCCTTTAACAATGATATAACCTTAGATAGAAACTTTGGAGAGATAAGATTGATTAGGGTAGTTGGATAGATATTTTGGGCTTGCCCGTAGTTTTTGCACTTGTTGCTATATGTTTTTCATGGTTGGTGCATCCTGCTTGTTGTGTTTTTTTCGCTAATATTAGTTTGTTCTTTACTTTTAAAAAAATTGCTTCGTACAAGATTAAAAGATAGTATGTTTCCCTAAATAGGACTAAGGAGCTGTTTGTTTCAGCCTCTTAATGGTTCACATGTCTGAATGGTTCATCAATTAATAGTTCAGACTGTTTGTTTTGTGAGCAGATGTGTGAATGGTTCAGACATTTGCCTATGAATGGTTAAATATTATACAGAGTCTGAATGGTTAAGACCTCTTATCTTGATCAGACATTTGCCTCTGAATAGTTAAGCAATATACTAGCTCTTAATGGTTCAGACCTCTTACTGATTCAGCACTTAATGGTTCAGACCTCTTACTGGTTCAGCACTTACCTATTCAGAAGTTGCCAAATAGCCCCTAAGTATGTTTTATTCCCTTTATGGCACATAATTCCATATGATCTGCCATATATGCCTTCATTAGCAACAAGTATTGGACAATGACTGATTATACGAATAGCTCTACGAATGTGGTCATTAGAAACAAGTGTTGAATGACTGGTTATTTCAATGACTATTTAAATCGTTTTTAATAATGTCTTATTCTACTTGAATTGTTTAATTGGTCATTTTTCTTAAAGGTAGAGCATTTTAGAACTTTCCATTGCCAAACGTTAGAGTAGATAGGACCTGTTCTATTTAGAAAAAAGTGATATATTTAAGTCTCATTTGCGTAAATTTCCCTTTCTTATTTGTGCTCCGTGCTTTCTTTGCTTTGTGTGTCTTATGTAAACATGTGATATCAATGTCATTTGGGCCAGAGGTATCTTGGAAACAACTTCTCTATGTTTGAGTTGGAATAAGGTCTACGTGCACACATGCTCGAGTTCCTACTCTTGTAAAGTTCAACTGGGTCATTGTTGTTGTTGCTATTGTTGTTGTTAGATGGTGAAGTGAAACTGTAAACTTCATCTTGATATGGAGAGAACTTAGATACTCTAGACTATGGCCGTCACTTCCCCGATAAAAAATTAAATATTCTCCCCCTCGAATTTTTTTTCCTTTTCTTGTATGAACTGATTGGTACGTAATAAGATTTGAATTGTGTGGATGAAATTTATCTAAAGATAAGAAAGAAGGTGAATCAAAAAATTAATTCTTTAATTTTGGAGCATCTCAAGAATAGAACAAAAAGAGATTTATGGGATAGTGTAGGTACCATATTTCTCCATTTGAAACCGAGTACAAATTTTTTACGGAGTACTTACCAACATCTATGTAAAATATTTAAATACATTACGGAGTATAATAAAGGGTACTTGGACAGAATATCCTCCAAATCTGTGCGATTGGATGAAAACATTTGGCTTATGTAATTAGATAAAGCATTATCAATTCTCACCCATTGATGTGTATATTATTAGGTCGAGAGATAAATATCTTTGTAATTAGTCCTATTAACATATCCGATTTGTAGCCTAAGCAGACTTGGCCCAGACCCGTGGGTGGTCCATGAGCTTGATGGACGGGTCGACACTCCTAGGCTATTATTGTTAGCCCAGACTTGGCCTGTACTATTTTTATTGAGAGTAGAGCTCGTGATATGAAGGGCCTGTTTGGGAATAACGTTAAAGATTAGCGTTAGTATTTTGGATAAAATTTTAACGATGCAGGTTAATTTGAAAACGCTAACGCTAAACGTTGTCCGTAGATAGCCTTTTGAAAACGCTAACGCTAATCTCTAACGCTATTTCCAAACAGGCCCAATATTTTCGGTGGAATTAAATTCCATCACCTATGTCGACAAAAAACAATAAGCAATATACGGAGTATTTCGTAACATGAAAATGTGTTTAATTATCCAACATATAGACATTATAGTTATTCAATTTTTCTTAATTTATAGTGTGTGTGTTTGGAAATTGGCCAATTGGCAACGACTGATTTAGGTCTGTAATTATTTATAAGGTTCTACCTTGTAAATGTACACCACCCTTCTTTTTACCATTCATTTTATTTTGTTTTTAGTTTTATTTTTTTTAATTTTTCTTACTTTTTTTGTGATGATGGATGGGGTGGGGATGTTTAAGATACACTTTTGGTGTACCCCTAATAATGCAAAACCGGGGATGAGCAACATATTTTTTCATGCCGATAATATAGCAAAATTTTTCCCTTTTAACTTACAAACTCATTCCATCCTAGAAAGTGAGAGATATATCGACTAAACGGGAATTTATATTTCTTCCCTCCGTCCTATATCTTTCTTCCCAGAGCACTATTCCAACTTCACGGGAATTTATATTTATTTGTGTTTTTTCATGGCCTATATGATAAAATAAAATATTCTTGTCACCACTTGTTTTGTTAAACTTTTGATATAGTTTTTAAATATGTATGTTTTATTTTTTAATTCTATACCAATATTTAAATAAAATAGATTGAAAAAACTTGAGATTTTTCTTCGTTTTGCGCAACGGGAAGAAAGATATAGGACAGAGGGAGTACTTCCTCCGTTTTTCAAAAGAGTTCCTCTTTTGACTTTGGGGAAAAATAAAGAAGTGTTAAATTGTAGTTGACTTTTCAATTCTGCCCTTGATGTGATGAGTAAAAGTAAGATGTGATAGTTTAGTTGTTAGTGAAAAAGTATGATGTGATAGGTAAGGTATGAAAAAGTAGGGGTAAAAGTGGTTTTTTAATAGAAAAAGGAAGTGTTTTAAGAAAAACAAAAAAATGAAAGAGGAAGGATTTTAAGAAACGGAGAGAGTAGTATCAATAAATAGTGTACAACATGAATATAATATAAATAAAGTACATTTGCATTACCTAAAGTACATTAACAGTGTAAGACAATGTTGATAACAAGCCACAAATCCTCTCCCACGAGGCAATTGGCAGGAAATCAAAAGAAAGTACAATTTTTTTTTGGGTTTTTGGGAAAATTCTAGTTTCCCTGCACACTTATCCCTCCAAAATTAAAAATAAAAAAAGTAAACTTCTATTTTTCATTTACAACTTTCCCTTTTTAACTTGCTTTACACCATGGCAGTAGACCCCCAGGGGTGACTCCTCTTTGCACCCTTTTTCTTCTACTTTCACATCTTTTTCAGAAAAAGAACAAGCATCTGCACACCATCTTCCTCCAGTAATTGAGGTACCTTTTGCCAACCTTTTTACCCCTGAAATAGACAAACAAACGAATCGAAAAGGTGCGGTACAAAATCAAATAAGGAAAAGAGTTGCTGATGTTTTACTACATCACGTAAGGGATGACAAACTTCAGCATGGTAGCATAAATAAAGTTGCTAAGAAATCCCGCATTTCCATAGCTAAAACTCAATTGCAGGTTGGCCTATCCATTGATGTTAAATGCAAGTGGAAAGGAAATTATGGGAGAAAAAGGGCACCTATTGACACAAAAAAGATGGCATCCTTGCCTTTTAATAGGCGCAAAAATATGCGTGCATTTGGGTATGCTATGGAGATGTCAAAATCACCGTAAGGACCCCAGGTTATCTAATGACATTGATTCCCAATGTCATGGGAATCAGAGTGATAGTAAAATGGCTAAAAGGGTTCACATATAGTAATTAATAAAAAATAATAAACTAACCCAACAAAAAGGTTAATTATAATGGCTAGGATTCCTTTTTCATTGTAAGCATTATGCTTATAATGTCGTTAATTACCAAGATCAGTGGGGCTGCTCTCTCTATATCGTGCGATCTGATTAGTGGGTTAAGCCCAACCCACCTTACTTTACACCTGGGCATCAAGCCTCCTTATTTTTCTTAGGCCGTGGTAGTGAAACTCTGTGGGCCACCCTGGTCTACTGATTGGCCTGATATCTATCACGATCATTATGGTGCTCTATTCAAAAAATTGATGGTTCTTACCTACCTAACCCCTAGTAAATCCCTCCCTAGCCCGACACGAACCCACCCCCTCACTCTCATCAATTGCACCTAAAAAATATTTAGTTGACTTTGAAGTAAAAATTTAACTCCAAAGTCAACTAAATTTTGTGGGGTGTAATTGTATGGGGTGGGGGTAGATTCAGGTTGGCATAGAGCGGCTTACCGAGGGAGCTAAGGGAGTCAGGCCCGAGATGGAGAGGTTTACCAAGAGAGTTAGAGGGGTTAAGAACTGTCATTTTTTCGAACAAAGTACCGTAAGGACCCTGGGTCATCACATGACATTTTTACCAATGTCATGGGAATCAGAGTGAAATATAATGGCTAGAAGGGTTCATATACAGTAATTAATTAATAATAATAAACTAACCCAACAAAAAGGTTAATTATAATGGCCATGATTCTTTTTTCATTGAAAGCATTGTGCTTATAATAAAAACGAAAATGCTGGAGTCACCTACAAATAATTCCCAAACTTTTTCTTGCACTCTATTATGTACGGAGTATCAAATAATAATAACTACTACAACAACAACAACAACAACAACAACAATAATAATAATCTTAATCATCCTCATTATTATATTATTGGTGGGGAAAAGATACGTGTCTCGACCTTTTTCTCCGATTCAGACAACCAAACTCTTGTACAGTCACGCACACACTCAATAATACAAAGGCACGACATCAGAAAACGGCTTTGTATTATATCCAGAAATGTACAAGAGAGATAACAATTACACGGAAAACACACTTTACTCTTTGTATTGGGTACAACTCTCTACACCTCACTGACAAGCGCTCTCAAGAAGCCTTCTTGATTCTCCACCCTTATTCTAGAATTCTCTCGAATCTTCCCTCTCACAACCCTTTGGAAATATTGAATTAATATCCCAACAATTATTATGTTCATAATCATCATTAGGTAAAACTATATACAGCTAGTTTTCTCGAATCCATTATGGAGGTAAATGAAGAATTACCTTCCAAGAGGCTTCCTGAGCCAGCAGAATTTACGGTCATTGAAGAAGCTAACCCGGTTGAGTCCAACCCTCACGAAACAGCATCTCTTCAACCTGCATCACATACACAGGACTTAATTGACTTGACAGGTGAAGACAATAGATACACACACAGAGTATGAAGATCAATGGTATGAAGCTATGGAGGAGCTCATACCAAACCAATATGGGTGGGCAGCTGCATATATAAGCAGGATTCTATCATACTTACTAGTGCATAAGCAAATATTAAATGGATGAATATTGGAGATGCTAGTACCAATTTCTTTCACACCTTTGTCAAAGGAAAAAAGCTCAGAATTGGAAGTATCATAGGCAGCAATGGATCTATTTTTCAAAATGGTGAGGCTCTTGGCAAAGAAGCTGTGGAATACTTTTCAAATATCTTTCAGGAAAATCATAGTGGAGATATGACTTCCAATCTGCCCTTTATCCCACAACTGGTGGCTCAAGAGGATAATCAAAATATTTGTTCGATCCCAACCAAAGAGGAAGTAAAGCAAGCTGTTTGGAACTTAGATCCTTATGGTTCTAGTGGTCCAGATGGATTCAGGCCCCATTCCGTTCAACTTATTTTTTCTTATTCTTATTAAAATCAGACCAGATCAGATCGAATCAGATCGAATCAGATCAAATCAGATCAAATCCAATCAAATCCCATCAAGAATTATTATTATTATTATTATTATCATCATCATCATCATCATCATCATCATCATCATCATCATCATCATCATCATCCTCATCATCATCATCATTATTCTAAAAAATGAAAAAGAATAGACTTTAGAAACAAGTTAAATAGAAAACTGAGAAAGTAATCCTTAATTATTAGACGTCGGAAAAATTATTTTTAGAATACATTGACAATGTCAATCTAGTTCTACTTTTAAAATACATTTTTATTGTTACTTGTAATTTGAGTTTCTAAAGTTTTGATCTTTTATAAGGATGAGATACTTTAATAAAAATACTATCTCTTCTATATATTGATTATCTAAATTTAATTACTTTTTAATGTATATATAAATTAAATATTTATTCTAATGTATATATGAAGTAATTATTAAAATATTAAATTAATAATCTAATTTCAAAAAAAATATCATAAAATAAAAAAAATATTACATTATAATATGAATGATTATTCTAATATATGAATTAACTAATTTTATTTTATTAAAAAATAATCATAAAATAAAAAATATTGATTATATTATAATATGAATTATCATTACAATTTTCAAACGTTATTATAAGGTCAAATCAAATTATTGATTTGAATTTTAAATCAAATCATAATTAATCAGATCAGATCAGATCAGATCCAATCAGATCAGATCAGAAAAAATAAGTTGAACGGAACGGAGCCTCAATGATGTGTTCTTCAGAGAATGTTGGGCATTGATTGAAGATGTCTATAAGGCTGCTCTAGAATTTTTCATGAGAATCCCAATATCCAAGGTAAAAAATCCTATATCCTTTCAGTAGTGTTTGGGAATTAGAATTTCATTTCAATTCTTACATTTCAATTCCAAAATTTGAATTCTTGAATTTCAAATGACAAGGGAAGATATATGGATTAGTAATCAAGCTTTGCGATGAATGAGAGGCATTTGCTTCAAATCCAAATTCAAAATTTTAAGATTTTCCAAACAAGGGATTTGAACCAAATCCAGATTTGAAAGCCAAATTCCAGCTTCCAAACATTCCGTTAGGGACTTCAGACCTATTTCCCTATCTACTTTCATGAGCACGCTTCATACTAGAATACTGGCCACCAGGATGGGAAACCTTCTACCTAAACTTATATCCGATGTCGAAAAGGAAAAGGTGTGGAAGAACAAGTCCTTATGGCTGAGGAAATGATTTACCAACTTATCAGGGATATTGAGGAGGGAAACATCATCCTAAAGCTGGATAAGGCCAAGGATTTTGAAATTTTCAGAAAGGGTCTTATCACAATTTGGCTTCTCTCAACAAACATAATACTCTTCTTCTGGCTAACCTTAGAGCAACTAACCTCTCAATTCTCATAAATGGTAAATCCTGTGGTTTCGTCAAGATGAAAAGAGGTGTTAAACAGGGTGATGCTCACCAGTCACCACTGCTTTTTATTTTGGCCACTGAGGCACTTAGCAGAATGGTTGAGACAAAAATGTATGAGGGATTCTTGGGAAGATACTATGATGGTAGACAGACTTTTCCTAGTCACCTGGCTTTTGCAGATGACTTGGTCATCTTCACTAATGGAAAGATCAGAAACCTTCTCAGGTTCAAAGCCATTCTAAATTCCTACCTAAATGCCTCAGGTCAAACAGTTAATTCCAACAGGAGCAATTTTTGTACTTCTAGAAAGAAAATGCAGCCTATATAAAGGGTGGAAGAAGCAACTGCGATGAATCATGGCCATCTACCTTTCATATATTTGGGAGCCACAATGTGCAAAGGTAAATTGAAAAATTGGGAAACTCATTGAGCACTTTGACAGATACCTACCTAGCTGGTATAGCAAAAGTGCTCAATCCCATGGGTAGGTTGATATTAATTAAACATGTTCTATCCTCCATTCCACATGTTATAGCTACACACCAGATTCATAAATCTATAATCAAGATAATACACATGAGAATGGCCATTTTCTTATTGGGATTCAAAGCTGGAGAACCTAAATATCACTGGCTAAGTTGGGAAAAGATATGCCAATTGCCATCAGAGATTTAGGGCAGATTTAAGTGGCATACAAATTCAAACTATAGTGGAACACCTATAGCAATCAGAACAGTATTTGGGCATCTTATATGAAGTCCAAATACCACAGGGGCAATGACTCTGCAGAAAGAGTTTATGACTCCTCTACTCGGAAGAGGATTGCTAGGATCCATGATATAGGCATGCAGCATATTAACATTGACCAAAGAGAGGTAACTTGGGAGTTGGGACAATGGAGATTTCAGCATAAAAAAGGCTTGTGAGATTTGTAGGGATTCTAAACCTAAGACACTTTCAGCTAGATTTAACTGGAGCAAGCATCAAATACCCAAAATCCAATTTTTCTTACGGAAACTGTTTTATAATGCACTGCCCTTCACAGAAAACTTAAGGAGATTCAAATTAAATCTACCCTCCCAATGCTGCCTATGTAAGTCTAATGAGGACTCTATCAACACACCTTTATCTAGTGTGATCTTAGTGCAAATTGCACAGGAAACAAATATCATTTAGCAATGGTTTATTTCCAATCAAAATAAAAAATATAATACAACTAGGGCACGGCAGAGAAGAACTGAAGACCTTGGGACTTACCACATATGCTTATCTATTTTACAACTCCAGAACCCTAGAACGATGGATGGAGGATAATCTTTGGCTGGTCAGGGAGAGATGTGCTGATAAAGATGGTTCAGGACCAAGAGGGCTTGATTGTGTGCATTTGCTTTCTGTGTAATTTTGCTTTGCCCCTTTTGGCTTTTATGCAAAGCTTTCAATGTGATTTTGCTTTCTTTACCTTCGGGGCTCCGATTTAGTCCTTCCTGAACGCGTATTATCTTTTCTCTTCTAATAAAATTTGGTAAGGTTCCCTCAGACCTTAACCCACCCATTTTGGTGGTTTCGCTTACAGGTTAAGAAAATATACACACATATACAAAAATATATCAAATTAAACATTGCTCGTTTTTGATAAGCTTGTTTTGTCCTGTATGCTAAAACACCAACCATGGAGCAGGTGTTGCAAAAGGATGGGATTGAGGCGACGCCCAACGAGATATACATCTCCAGCAGGCATGATGCTAAGAATCGTGTTTGTGGCACACGAGACCTCGCACGCAGCCTGCCAAGAATGAACAAGAACGAGGCGAGGCATGCCAGCACTAGCTCCATGTGGGATCCCATTGATGAGGAGATGCAGGAGATGAGGGAGAAGTTGGACAACCTGAGCAAACATATACAATGGGGGTGTTGACCATTAAAGAGCAACTGTTGCTGCTCTTAGGAGGATGTCTCCCGAACAACAATGGAGTGAATGGTGGTGTAGGAGCGGGAATTTTTTAAAAACATTTGCGAATATATTTGGTTTTAACATTCTAATTGATTTTTAATCTACACGTTTGATTGAATTTTTAAATTTAACTGTCATTTAAACTTCGTATATTTATGTTTAAAAGGGAATTGAATGTGTTTGTAGAATAATTGTTGTTCTCACTCCTGCAAATTTGATGTGTTTTGGGAGTTTGGTTGTATCCCTTGCAGAGTTGTTTCATTTGGTGTGTTTTGGGTGAGAAATTAAAGCAGAACATGATCTTCTGTTTTCTGCTTTATGGCTGACAGAATTGACGACAAAAATCTAATCTCTCATCCAGTGGTCAAAAAACGAAAATGGTAGCCGATTCCAACGTCAAAGCTAACGACGAAATTTCATCGTCCAAACCGTCGGCGAAACAGTCGCCAATCACCGACCAAACAAAAAATCCGTTATCCAATAGAAATGTAACAAACAATAGGTGACAGATACCAAACCATTGGCAATTCCGCCGGCAAAGCAAATTTCCAATGGAACCCAGGCGTTGGCGACAAAAATTTTACGTCGCCATTCAGGCAGATTTCACTACTGGATTGAAGATGGGGGTCCCACAAGATCAGACGTCCTGGCCTCCTCAGGGTATTTACCCAAGGATAATACCGAGATTCAGCTAGGGCAACTGCATGCCCTGGGAGGTTTTGTCTACATCAACATCTACGTGAAGACCAGTAGTGGGCACCGAGGTAGGTTGGACAACAGGTTCTTCTCATGGGGATTTAGGTAGGATCCCGTGAGGAGGAGGGGGATGGACTCACAATCTTCTAGCATTTGGAAGACTTACAATGGCGAGCCCCCAATGGGAATGCTTATACCAGGGTCAGGAAAGCCCCCCTGCGTTGAATGAAGACCCGAGCGAGTCCTTATCTTCAGTGATTGTGGAGCAGGCCAAACAGTACTGGACGTCAGCAGGACCAGCGCGAGCCACGGGTTCAGAGAGATGATGAAGTGATAATGGAAAACGTGAAGATCCAAAGAACAGAACAGAAAAGCAAAAGGATTTATTACAAGGCAAATTTAAATTGTAAGGGAGCGTAAAGAGCTTTTACGCCTTTTAGGGAAGGAACGGTCCTTATAGAGCAAGAAAATCTACATTGGGATTATGCAGAATTGCCCTTAGCCGTTTATGGGGGCGTGCAGCACAGGATCTGGAGTAATGAGAAATATGGTGAACGGCGACTATAGTGATATGATGATAAGTTGGGAAGACAATTGGAGCCATTACACACGAGCCTCCCACTCTCGCCATGTGTTGGCCTGACGATTTGGATCCAGGAAGAGTGTGTTAATTCTAGATCCTTCTGGGGGTGGCATGTTTGTACGCCACCACCATGTTTGGCCGCGAGCTTTTTTATATTTTGTTGTAATTTTTAATGTTATTTCTTGCATTGTCTCCGTGTATAAAGGCAAAACAAGAAATTGGGGGTTCGTAAATATGGGTCGTGATAAACCGGAAGCGAGGCCTGCCCATCTAGAGCAAGAATGGGGTTGTGGCTAGGTCTGTAAGTCTGAAGGCAAGATCCTAGTATGAGAGAGTCCTAGAATGCTACTTTCCGTAATTAGAGTGGTTAATTACGGATCGGAATCAGGACCACAAACATTAAACTATAAATATAACCTCTCTGGCTACGGAGAGTCGGTGGGGGAAACACATTGTTGATAATCTAGGACTGCTATGCTTTGACCTCTCACATTCTTCTTACTATCATATTCATATCCATAACCTAGTTGCTAATCGTATTCTGGTGGAGTTTAAATCTATCACACAATATATACCAACAAAAGTTCATAGTATCTACTCCGTATATCAGAAACAGAAAAAGTACACTCAATCACCTGCCACTGGAGAAACTTACTTTCATGCTAGCTGCTTTTTTTCTTTCCTAAAACTGGTGCCGACAGTAAAATAAACCAACCCAGTAAGGTCCCACAAGTAGGGACTGAGGAGTGGGTGTAGAGAGACCTTACCCCTGACTAAGAAAGGTAAAAATATAAAAATGAGTCAAAACAATCAGACATTAAATGATGGACTGTAAAAGATAAAATAACTATGGATTATGGAATAAAGAAAGAAAGAGTTAAATAACAACTCCCAAATACATGTACCCCTACAAGAGCACCTCTCTACACCTACGTTGCTCCTAAAGCCCAAGTCCCATGTCAGATTACCCTCTTAAGGCCTTTAACAATAAACAGACTATTATTTTCACTTTTCAGCAAGTGTTGCATAATGTACAAAGTGATCTTAGTTATTTATACCATGCAATTCAAGGACCTCGGTTTTAATAGGCCTCAAATTACTGATTGATTTTTGTACGTGAAATTTGAATTTGAGCTCTTCATGAGTGGCCTCTCTGCCTACAGACCAATGGTTCTTCAGTGCTGCCAGCAAATTTTCTCCTCTTATGCTTCTGTTTCATAAGCTTCTTATCTCTGATGGCATCATATAAGAGTTCATATGCATAATAGTTAATATGGCTATTCTTCAGCATGTCTTCAAGAATAATCTTGGGTGTTGCAACTTCCTTTTTATCAGCTTCGAAAATTGTATGCACAATATCGGGAACAATACCCTTGTGCACCATAAGGTTAACAATATAAACTGCATCACGGAGTTTGTGCTTCATGCATAGGCAATTGATCACTCGTCCAAATGTTGTTTGCGATGGTAGAAACTCCCTTTTCACATTGTCAAGGAGGAAGCAGTAAGCAGAATCACAGTCTCCTTTATTGCAAAAACCATTGATCATACATTGGTAAGTGTAGTTGTCGGGGATGCAATCTTTTTTCCCCATCTCAGAAAATAACAGTTCGGCCATGTCAATTTTCAGCTTCTCACAGAAAGAATTTATCATAATATTGTAAGTCGCGGTAGTCTGAGAAAGTTTATACTGCCTTTCCATTCTACGGAACAACTTATAGCCCCCATCCAGATCCCCATTTACACAAAACCCATTGATTAATGTGCCAAAAATTACAACATCTGGAGAGAGACCCTTGCTTTCCATTTCCTCAAGCAAATCAAAAGCTCGTGTGAATTGTCTAGCTTTGCACAGGCTGTCTATAAGTATATTATAAGTGATAATGTTTGGGAAACACCCCTTTTCCACCATCAATTTAAACATATCCATCACTTCACTACAGCTTGAAGACTTGCAGAGACCATTTAACACTGAATTACATGTTATAACATCAGGAGCAACACCATATTCCCACATGGTGTTTAAAAGTTCAATTGCATTACCCAATTTCGAGAGCTTGCAGTATCCATCGATCAGTATGTTGAAGGTGAAAATGTCAGGAAGAACCCCCTTGTTCATAGCAATATCCATGACATCAGTCGCATCAGACATACAACCCATCTTACACAATCCATTTACAATTGTGTTATATGTCCATGTATCTGGCTCACATCCTTTTTCAGGCATCTCATTCATTAATTGGAGAGCTTCAAAAATAAACCCCTGCTGACAAAGGCCCTTGATTAAAGTGTTATAGAGAATCAAATTTGGCTTTATACCTTTCGTTGTTGCTTGATGAAATAAGCTTATAGCCCTGTCTATGTCTCCCTCCTCACATGACCCATATATTAGGGAAACATATGTGAATTGGTCAGGCAGAAAGCCTCTATAGGCTGCATCAGTGAGAACTTTATCTGCACTCTGCACCCTTCCCAACTTACAGTATCCATTTATAATTGTGTTGTATGTGAAAGAATCGGGCGTGAACCCACTGTTGACCATTTTTTGCAAATAAGACTCAGCTTCTGCAACCTTTAAATTCTTGCACAAGCCACATATAATCGTATTATAAGTAACAACATCAGGACTAAATCCAATTCTTCCTAACATCTTGACAGCCTGATCTAGGTTCCCTTTTCTACAAAGGCCCTGAGTGAGGATATTAATTGTAAACAAATTCGGAAAAACCCCTCTTTTAAATACCTTGTTAAGAAGTCTTTCACAACCTTTTACATCACCCTTCTTACAATAGGCGTGTATAAGCTTATTAAAAGTAGTAACATCAGGAACTATGCCTATTCTAAGCATCTCCTCAAAAAGTTCATTCGCCTCAACATGGCAATTCACTTCGTAAAATCCGCCAATGACTGTACAATACGAAACTGCATTGGACCTGCATCCTTGGGACGGCATGTTGTGCAGAAGCCTCAAAGCAGCATGAGGCCTATTCGTGCGACAAAAGGACTTCATCCTTATGGTGAAAGTGTATGCATCGGGAGTGATTCCCTTGTCTTTCATCCTCATATAAACCTTATGTGCTTGGTCATAATACCCATACTCTACCAATACATTCATTACAGCATTATAAGACTGCACAGAAGGCTCGCAATTATAAAAATCCATCCTTTCAAACACATTAGCCGCGTCCTGAATCCTCCCTTTTTTTCCATAACTCTGAATCACACTAATATACACACCCTCCAGCAATCCATTGTCAAAATTCATCCTCATCTCCTCCACCAAATGTTCCATAGCCTCAAATTCTCCATGGCGGCCAAGCTTTTCTATCATACATTTGTAAGTATACAAGTTATGGTTAAACCCTTCATCACTTTTCACGGAATTGAACATTTCCAAAGCTTTCAAGGGATTCTTTTGGAATCTAATGACCGCTGTTACATGTTTCGGAAGCAAAACAGGACTCATGCCGAAATCTATGCTAATAAACTAATCAATGACGCGATATTAACCCATTAAATATACTTCAATTTCTTGGCGATTTACTTCATCTAATAACCTGCAATGCTGAGACAAGCTATGGGGCACGTATTCGCCAAACCAGGGGAAGGGTAAGAATCGGGAACGTGTCGGACACTAAAACGGGCCTGTGGTTGACCGGATAACGGCCGGGATATCTCTGGATTGCTACGATGGTTAGAAGCTGTAGAGAGAAGATGGAGTTGTGTGACAGTATTTTTTTGGATTATGCTATGTACCCAAGGGTTGTACCCAGTACCCGCAGTTTTGCACCAACACTTTCTGTACTTTCTGTTAGTGTAAAACTAATTTTTATTAAATGCACCAACATTTGTGCCTGTGTGAATTTTTATTAACGCACCAACACTTGTGTCGGTGTAAACCATCGAAATGTTTGTGCAAACCTGTGGTGTACAAATGGGGTATATTTTATGGTGTAAGTGTAGCATGGTTCTACATCACAAATTATACTCCATTTGTACACTGCAATTATACACAAATATTTTAATGGTTTATACCGACACAAGTTTTTGTGCTTTAACAAAAATTTACACGGACACAAAGTGTTGGTGCATTAACAAAAATTAATTTTAGTGTTGGTGCAAACCTGCAGGGTACAAAATGGGGTACAAAAGTTGGGGTACGAATAGCTTTATCCAAGAAAAAAAGCAGGCAGAACTACAAAAAATGTTTGACAATGAACACTCATTTGTTTTAGAATCAATATTACTCCCTCCGTCCGGAAATGTTCTACACATTTGACTTTTCTTGGTCAAAGTCTATAAATTTTGACTACGGTTTGTGGAAAAAACACATTGTATTATGATTTAAATTTAATATCAATATATTCATAATGAAACGTAGTTTTCAAATATCAATTTTTTATAAAATATATCTGATGGGTGTATTCCACCCACGACCGGTCAAAGAAGAAGACCAATTAGTTGACCGGTCAATCTCGAAAGTTTTGGAAGGGAGACTTAAATCGTCGGCAAAACGATATATGATTGGCCAAAAGATGACCGGTATACTTCACGAAAAAGTATACCGGTCAAACTACTTTGTCCCCCTATTTTTCCCTAAACTTCGATGATTTCGTCCCACGGAGATTACCCGGAGTAGTTTTTAGGGTTGGAAAGTGTCGGCAGAAGAGGATCTGCGAGGGCTTGGCGTGTAGCGACCCGTGTCAGTAGAAGACAACTGGAGATGCTGAAGAATCCATCCAAGGCACTACTCGACGAAGGGAATAATCCCCCTCACAAGGCGACAAGGCAGCTCAAGGACGAAACCAGTCACCTCGCACCACATCAGCATCGTGCCCCCACGTGGGCGCACGTGGTCCTGTCCCCCCTAGCCTAGTATATATACTCATGTAAACCTCAGAAAGGGGGATCCGAATTCATTCTCTCTAAACTCCCTTGTAAAAGCACCCGTGCATTCTCCGTTATAATATAAATTGGGCTACAGGTGTTCCACCTAAAGTCCTACCGGTCAATCTACGGGTTTTTACCTTTCTTACTTTGCCAAATCAAGCAAACTATTCTAGACCCGGTCTAGTACAGTTTGACCGGTCAAGTAATTTACACCATCATTTTTGGCGCCACCCGTGGGACTTTTAAGGTTTCTTCTCTTCTAAAACCTACCCACAAGAAAACCACTCGAAATGTCTTCCAGCCAACAGATCAACGCTACTTCCACTCAGGTGCATGCCACCAACGAGGGTACCAGCATCCCTGTGGCTGCTACCATACCGGTCATTTCAGCCCCGGTGTTGCCTTTGGGTCTGAGCTCTGTTCCGACGGCCAGCGTGATCAGTCCCTTCGCGACCCCCGTCCCTTCCGCTGGACCGAGAGTTACGTTCCCACCAAGCATGGCTCAGTTCATGAATGACCCAGCCAACCTACAAGCCATCCAGGGCTTTGGCCAGGTCATGGCCATGTGCCAGCAGAGCGGGGGGATGCCTTTCCTCCCTGGTATGTTCCCATTCGCCCTTCCAGGCGCGGGAACCATGCCCCTACAAGCTCCGATGGCGGTGACGTCGTTCCAGACGCCGATGCCGCAGCCATCACCTTTCCAGCCCCAGCTGGTCAGCACCATGGCCCCTGTCAACTTGACCGGTGCACTTAACGTTGCAGGGCCGTCGCGTCCCCCGCAGGGTACGAATCCGCAAGTCACCCCTGATGGTCATTGTGTCTCAATTGAGAGCGATGACGGCGAGTGGGACGTTTCAAGGGCCCACAAGAAGAAGAAAGGAAAAAACATCCGGCCAGCGACCTTCCGAAACTCCGCCTTCGAAAGACTGGGGGATAGGGAGGAAGGCCAGAGGAAGTCAGCCAAGCAAAGACTGGGGCAGAGCGTTGCCCATGTCAGCGCGTTCGCCCGGCTAGGCGAGGTGCGGGAGGCCGAGCCTGCCCGCACCCGGCGCTCCCAGTCTAACCGGCAGGAGCCAGCAAGGACGAGGGCCTCTCGTCAGGAAGAGGAAGCAGAGAGTCAGCCCAGGTTACCGGTGGCGAACCGGTTGACCATCCCAAATGACCGCATCCAGCAGATGGAGGCAAAACTAGAAAGGCTGGAGAAGAAGGTCGGAGAGAAGAATGACCGGGACAAACCCCAAGCAGTGTCCCCGTTCACCACAAGGGTCCATTTGACACCTTTCCCGCGAAAGGTTAAGATCGACGCCCCTAGATTCACCGGGAAGGAAGATCCGGAAATCCATCTGGACTCCTTCAACCAGAGTGCGACCATGAACGGTTGCACCGATGAAGAAAAGTGCCTACTTTTCTTCCAGACCTTGCGGAACCGAGCCACTGAATGGTTCAATAAGCTTCGCCCGGGAAGCATTAACTCGTTCAGTGATTTGGCCTCAAAATTCAAGGCCAAGTTCCAGGAGAATTGTACTAAGAGGAAGAAATTCACCTATCTTAGTACAGCCGGGCAGAGGGAGTCTGAGAACCTTACTCAGTTCCTTACCCGGTGGAAGGAAGAGGTAGACAAGGTGGAAGAGATGGATGACAAGACCGTCCTCTCCCTCCTCTTAAATGGCTTACGTGCTGGGGAACTATACAAGGAGTTCTGCCGGAAACCCGCAGCCACGTACCAAGAGGCCTACCATACTGCATGGGAGTTTGCTGAAGCTGAAACCCAGCTCCGGGCAAAGAGAGAAGCTGAGCATGGTCACAAGCCCAAGCCGGTGCAAGTCAAGAAGGAAGAAGCACCGGGACCTAGCCGGCCGAGGCACCACTATGACCCGGTCATCCGAGTGGTCAATACGTAAGAATGCCAAGAAGTCCGGAAGGCACCGGTCATACCTCCAGAAAACCCTACCGGTCAAGTAGGGCGGCAGTGGTCGGGCACCTATTGTTCGTACCACAGGTCAGATTCCCATAACACCTCCGAGTGTAAGAGTGTTAAGGGAGTAATCCGGCAGATGATAGACAGTGGAGAGCTGGGCAAGGATTACTTGCAGAAAGCCTAGGAGAAGAGTTATCAATGGGTTAGGCCAGCTGCCCTGGGAGATGACCGGGACAACGACCGGCGGAGGAATAACCGGCCAAGGGAGCGGCAACCTGCTCCCGAAAAAGAGCACATCGGCATGATCTTCGGCGGACCCGAGGGTGGAGATTCAGCCGCGCAGCGGAAGAACTGGGTCCGGAGCATTTACGTTGGAGAGGTAAGTGCTGAACCGCCCAGGCGTAAACATACTAGGAGAGAGCCTATCGTCTTTACTGACCGGGATCTCCCTCCTACCGGTGAAGATCACAATGATCCATTGGTCATCACCATGGACATTAATGGGGTGGATGTCGCCCGGGTACTTGTTGACACCGGCAGCAGTGTCAACATCTTATACCTGGAGACCTTCCAAAAACTCAGGTTGTGTCGAACACAACTTGAACCCCTCAAAACCCCTCTCTCAGGCTTCACGGGGGACACCGTTGAAGCTGAAGGATCCATAGTTCTACCGGTCGAACTAGGATCAGGTGAAAAGACCGTGTGGAAGAAGATGCGGTTCATAGTTGTGGACATCAAATGCGTCCACAACGCAATTCTTGGAAGGCCAGGCATCAATAGAGTCGGGGCGGTGATTTCCATGCCTCATCTATGCATGAAGTTCCACACTCCAGGTGGTGTGGGTGAGNATCGTCTTTACTGACCGGGATCTCCCTCCTACCGGTGAAGATCACAATGATCCATTGGTCATCACCATGGACATTAATGGGGTGGATGTCGCCCGGGTACTTGTTGACACCGGCAGCAGTGTCAACATCTTATACCTGGAGACCTTCCAAAAACTCAGGTTGTGTCGAACACAACTTGAACCCCTCAAAACCCCTCTCTCAGGCTTCACGGGGGACACCGTTGAAGCTGAAGGATCCATAGTTCTACCGGTCGAACTAGGATCAGGGGAAAAGACCGTGTGGAAGAAGATGCGGTTCATAGTTGTGGACATCAAATGCGTCCACAACGCAATTCTTGGAAGGCCAGGCATCAACAGAGTCGGGCCGGTGATTTCCATGCCTCATCTATGCATGAAGTTCCACACTCCAGGTGGTGTGGGTGAGGTGAAGGGCGACCAGAGGAATGCCCGGGAGTGCTATGCCCGGGCAGTCAAGAAAATGACCAAGGGGGTCAATGTCATCTCCCAAGAAATCAAAAAGGGAGAGACCCGGGAGAAATTGGAGCCCGAGGCCGAGACGGTGGAAATCGAACTTCACCCGGGTGATTCTTCGAGGATGGTCCGAATTGGAACAAATCTCCCCGAGGATCTCAAGGTAGAAATCACACGGGTCCTCCAAGAATACGCAGGCATATTCGCATGGAGCGTGGCGGATATGCCCGGGATAGATCGCTCTATTATCTGCCACCGGTTGGCCGTGAGGGAAGGAAGTCGACCGGTACGCCAGAAGAAGCGGTACCTAGCCAGTGACGGGCGAGACTTCGTCAAGAAGGAAGTGAAAGACCTCTTCAGTGTTGGTCACATCCGGGAGGTCAAATACCCGGATTGGCTGGCCAACGTTGTCCTCGCTCCCAAGGGCGACACGTGGAGAATGTGTGTGGATTACACGAACTTGAACAAGGCCTGTCCGATGGATTCATACCCCCTCCCCAGTCCAGATCAAATGGTGGACGAAACTGCGGGGTGCGAACTCCTAAGTTTCATAGATGCCTTCAAGGGTTACCACCAAATCTATAATACCCCAACCCGCGTAACCCAAACCCGTGAGATAGCGGACCGGTGTGCCACTGGATTGGTATCCGAATATACAACATTTTCAAAACAATTTTAAACAAACGTTTTTTCAATACATATAAAAATCCATCGGAGTAATTTAAAATAATGCGGAAGCCTTTTTAAAGTCAAACAACTTGGGATCTTGCCCGAAAACGTAATAAGCATTAAAGTTAATTAAATAAAGCATAATCAACAGATTAAAGAGACAGCCACGCCATCGTACATCTCCTCCTCAATGCCCTCTGGGATCGGCTCTAGGTTCATCTGTCTGATCACCTACGGACAGCAAAAAGGAAAACAACGCTATCCGCTCAGCATTGACGCTGAGTGGCACTCCATTGTAGCACAAGAATAAACATAATAATTCAATGATTAGATCGTGCATATGTTTATCCTTTTAATAAAAATCAATTCAACTTTAAATTCGGTTCTTTAGACGGTTGACCAACAGTCAACTTATTTTCTTTCTTTTCAAAACGATTTAGGTGTTACGGGTTTCTCATNAATAAACCAATTGACCTTAATCACCGATTAGAATTAATTAATTAACTTAACTAATTCATTAAAGTCTTGGATTTAACCATTCGGTCAAACCTACGTCGACAGAATATCCAGTCAAAGCCTAAGTCAAACGTGACCTAACCCAAGTCAAAGTCAAACCTGTTCAGTCAATTCACAATCCTCAACAATTCAATTCAAATAATCAATTTAATTCAATTAACCAATTTAGCCAAATTATAGCATAAACACATATAACGATCCAAACCATTAAATCTATTCTAAATGCTATTAACTTCATAGTACGGACCTGGATTACGCCGAAATCGAATCGATAGCTCGAACGGAAGACAAATCAACGAAATCAAACGAACGGGTCAAATTGAGTCAAAATACGAAATCGACCAATCAATCCGGCGTGGAGGTTATTCTGCCGGCGATATCAACTCGGGGCAGCGGCTGGATGCGGCGACGGTGACGGACGCCGGCGACAGTGGCAGAGCGGCAACTCGACGGCGGTGAGCAGCGACTGGCGGCGCTGCAATTCGTCGGCGAGGAAGGACGCCGGCAGTGGAGGCGACGTCCAGCGCTCGGCGTGGCGGCGCTGCACCCGACGGCGATGATGGCGGCGGCTACTGGCGAAGGAAGCAGCGGCGGCGACTTGCTGGGGAAGGGCGACCGGCGGCGCTGCAACTCGACGGCGGCGGACGACCGACGAAGAAAGCAGCGGCGGCGATTGGACTCGACGGCGATGATGGTGGTCGCCGGTAGGGGAGGCGACGTCCAGTGGCGAGGCGCGGCGTTGGAGGCGGAGGTCGGACGGCAGGGATGACCGGCGAAGAACGGCGTCCCGCGCTGGCAGTGGAGGATGACCGAAGGTGAAGAAGGAGAAGAAAGAAAGAAGAAGAAGAAGAAGAAGAAGAAGAACGAACGAAGAAGATAAGGATCGAGTGGTTTAAATTTAGGTTTAGGTTTATTTAATGGTCCCATTCCAAAAAGGATTGGGCTTCGGACCCAAAATACCTGATTAAATGGTCATAACATGAGCTCCGTAACTCCGATTCGCGAGCCGTCTGAACCGACGCGATCACAAAAATATTTCCTACGAGATGACATAAAAGTTGGGATTAAATCCAAATTATAATTTTAACCCCTTTTTAGGCCCAATTCGTAATCAATTGCTCTAACAATTTAATTAATTCTTTTGGGCCAGATTTCGGGGCGTTACAAAATCTACATGTCTTAGGAAGATGAAGAGAAGACGTCATTCCTCACACCCGAAGGAACCTACTGTTACCGAGTAATGGCGTTTGGCTTGAAGAACTCGGTGGCAACCTACCAGCGCATGGTGAACAAACTCTTCAAGCCACTACTAGGAAAGACCATGGAGGCATACGTCGACGACATGCTGATCAAAAGCCAGGTATCTCTGAACCACCCAGCTAATATGCGAGCCACGTTCGATATCATGGCAAGGTAAAACCTCCGGCTGAATCCTAAGAAATGCGTCTTCGCGGTTCGTACCGGGAAGTTCTTGGGATTCATGGTGACCAAGAGAGGAATAGAGCCCAACCCAGAAAAAATCCGGGCTATCACTGAAATGCAAGCCCCCACCTCTGTTAGGGATGTTCAAAAGTTGACCGGTCGTTTAGCGGCCCTCAGCCGGTTCCTTTCCCGGTCAGCTGAGAGATCCCTGCCCTTCTTCAAAGTTCTGAAGAAGGCAAATGCATTCGCATGGGGCGAAGAATGCCAGAGGGCATTTAAGGAGCTGAAAGAGTACCTAGCGTCGGATATTGTATTGTCTAAACCCGGACCGGGTGAAACTCTGTATCTGTACCTGGGAATTTCCCCAAATGCTGTAAGCTCCGTTTTAATAAGAGATGATGGGGTGCAAAAGCCCATTTATTATGTGAGCAAAGCACTAAACGGGGCCGAGAGTAGATATACGGCGATGGAAAAGACAGCCTATACGCTTTTCATCTCCGCAAAAAAGTTAACATCCTACTTCCAAGCTCACCCGGTAGAAGTCTTGACTGACCAACCGCTGGGCGCAGTGTTGCGAAATTCAACATCCTCCGGGAGGATGGTGAAGTGGGCGATGATGTTAACTCAATTCAATATTGAGTACCGGCCAAGGTCAGCAATCAAGGGACAGGTCCTTGCTGACTTCTTAGTAGAAATGACCGGTCTAACTCCAGACCTATCGATCGACAAGCCTGTTGAGCAATGGTGGGAGATGGCAGTTGATGCCCGTAGGCCAGGATCTCCTATGCCCCCACCATAGCACAAGTGGTGGGGTCTTCCCAAGTTCTAGATGGTACGTTAGCAGAAGTTGAAGTTCGACTGCTTGTTACTCCGTCTTATACTTCGAGACCGACCTCCCGAGTCTGAACGGGTTCGGGACTTTTAGTCGGCCCACAGTATCAAATCTGACTCTAGCCTGATAGTTGGGCAGGTGACCGGTAACATGGAAGCAAGGGAAGGACGCATGGCACAATACAAGGACCTTGTACTTGCCCTGTTGAAAGGCTTCAAAGAATTCAAGATCGCCCAAATTCCCCGGGCGGAAAACGCGGATGCAGACCTTCTCTCCAAATTGATGCAGTATGCTCCCGAGCATGTTTCAAAACTTGCCCGGGTAGAGGTCCTTGACCGTGCAAGCATCGAAAAATTGGAAGTTGCCGCTATAACGGCCGGAAGCCAATTTGACCGGTCAAACTTGGTCGGGGCGGACGACCATTGGATGTATGATCTGATGGAATATTTGATGGAGGGGAGCTTGCGAGAACAAGATGACCGGGCAAGAAAAGTGAAGCTTAGGGCACCCCGATTCCAGATTCTTGATGGAAAGCTGTATAAAAGGGCGTTTGGGGGGCCACTCCTGAGATGTCTGACCAACCGGGAGGCTGAACGAGTCATAGCGGAAGTCCACGAAGGCGTATGCGCGGCGCATCAAATGTCCCGTACGCTTTCCCAACGCATCATCTTGTTGGGGTATTACTGGCCAACAATTGTCCAGAATTGTGAAAGGTACGTTCAGAAATGCCGGACGTGCCAAGTATTCTACAAGTATCCTGGTAGACCGGCGACCTACTATCACCCCGTATCAGACGACATCCCATTCGCTAGATTCGGGGTTGACATCATCGGGGCATTCCCAATCGCCTAAGGAGGGAAGAAGTTCGTGATCGTAGCCATCGATTACTTCACCAAATGGATCGAGGCCGAAGCATTGGCCAACATCACCACGCAACAATGTAAGAAATTCATTTGGAAGAACATCATCACGAGGTTTGGAGCGCCCATGAACCTCATCACCGACAACGGCCCACAATTTCGAAATCCAAGATTCACTGAATACTTGGAGGGCTTCGGGATCAAGCACAATCGCTCTTCGGTGGCGTACCCCCAAGGAAATGGCCAAGTCGAAAACGCCAACAGAACTATTGTAGATGGTTTGAAAAAGCGGTTGGGAGAAGCAGGAAACAAGTGGCTAGAGGAGCTCCCACACATCATATGGGCATTCCGAGTAACACCCAGGAGGGCTCATGGGGAAACTCCATTCTCCCTAACCTATGGGTGTGAAGCAAGGCTGCCCATCGAAGCTGAATTCCCCACGTTTCGGGAGTCAAATTATCAACCCCAGCAGAATGAGGAAGATCACTTGGCCGAGCTCAACTTGGTCGAAGAGCGGAGAATGGCCGCGGAAGTTAAAATGAGTACGTACCAACAAGTTGTGAAAAAGTACCATGACAACAAGGTTGGGCCACGGTACTTCCAAGTTGGAGATGAAGTCCTACGAAGAAGAGAAGCAAGTAGACCTGGTGACGGAGGAAAGCTAGCAAAAAACTGGGAAGGCCCATACAGGGTTAGAGCCATCATTCGACCAGGAACATACCGGTTGGAAACTTTAGATGGTATACCGATAGAAAGAACTTGGAATTCCCACCATCTTCGCAAGTTCTACAAATGATTGTAATACTAGGCGAGGCCTAACTACATTATCAATCAAAGTAATGTTCAATACTCTACTTGGTAGCAGCGGAATTGATAGGTCAAACCTATCCTAGGAGGGCTTCCTGGGTGGATCGAATCCACTTGATTAAGCCAACTGAGACACAGGCCCGGACCTGGGCACGCTGGTTACTACACCGGTCTTGCTCAGTATAATAGAAAAAATATTAAAACCCGGAAGAGGGTATGCCTGCAAGAGGGCTGGACCTGGAAGAGGGTTCGAACCGTACTTACACGGGCCCATGAGGTTTGACTGGTGTCGGAGAATCATCCGGCGCCGTCAAATTGATTGGGGACTAAAAGATGCCCATTAAAAGAAACAGAAGGGGATCGTCCACCGTGGCGCATCCTGTTTCCCCCTTCTCAGGGAAGACTTGAACGGGGGGGGGTGAGCTAAGGCCTTCTCGGGATGGTAGAAATTAAAGGGCCATTAAAAGACTTAATCACCCGGAAGAGGGGGCCCTGGAAGAAGGGTGTATTTGAACCTTGGAGAGGGTTCGAAACCATTCGACATGGTTAAATCTCCAGTATTCTTACCGGTTAAGGATACTTCAAGAATTACTAGGTTACAGGTGTTTCCATCTACAACCTATCGGTCAAGTAAAAAAAAAAAAAGAATACCCCGGTTGGGTATGGGCATAGCAGAACTTCGAAAGTTCTACATCCATCGGAAGGCAAGGCATTTGACCGGTCAAACCATGGAGTGGGAATTCACCGGTCAAATTAAACTTTATAAAATAATTTGCGAAGCTATCCAAAATGCCAAAGTAAAGTTCGGCCGGTCAAACTTTTTAAGTTGGCCACCATGATGAAGACGTTCGAAAAGAAAAAATTGAAGTTTAACCGGTCAAAGTTACTCGAGCTAATCCCTCAGATAAAGTGATCAAAGAGAACTTTAAAGTTCTCCCGGTCAGAAACAATTGAGAAGTGGTCTGATTGGGCTACCGGTCAGAATGTATAAGAAGCAAAAGCAAAGTATAAATCAACAAGCAAGCAGATATGGAAGATTAACCGGTAAGGAAATTAAACATGGCATTCAAATGAAATAAAAATGTTAAGTGTTTACAGCTACACCGGGCATCCCCGGGGAAATTTCAAGTTGGGAAGTTTTACAAACACAACCGGTCTAGGACGAGGAGATCCTAATCTAAGGGGAAAGGGGGAGTAGGCTCTTCTTCCGGGATCGGAGCCAAGCCGTAGGATGCCGCACTGAAGCTCGGGTCTCTTCTGAGCAGTACTCGGTGAGAGGCGATCCGATCTTTCTTTTGACCACTCTTGAATCCAAAGGATCCAATCGCGGTGATCATTTTCCTTCCTTCAGGCTCCCGGTACAGAAGCCTGAAGGACTCCATCGCGGTCTCCGGCGTCGCCGTCATCACCCGGGCAGCAACGGCCTTCTTCTCTTCAACCCAGGCGACTGCGCGCCCGGGGAAGGTTTCTTCCTTCTAGGCTGCTTCCCTCTTGGCCTCAGAGGCTTCATCCATAAGCCGGCCATTCTCCTCCTTCAGCTGGGAGATCTCGGTCTTCATGGCCCCAGCTAGCCCAGACAGCCTGATTAGCTCATCAGCCTGGCTCTTCAAGATGAGGGCCATCTCTTCTTTCTCCCTCTTCAGCCGGTCGACTTCGGAAGGGGAACTCATCCCCAACCGGTCCACTGTGTGCGGCCCAATCTCCCCAGCCTGCACAAAAATGAAACAGACCGGTAAGTTTCTCGATAAAAAAAAATAAATAAATAAAGACCGGGATGGCATCAAGACTTACCTCCTTCAGCCTCAGCCCCAGATTGATGAAGGCTTCTTCGATGGTCTGACCGGCCGGCTCGGAATCCGGCCTTACCCTCTTCTTGGCATAAGAAGGGTGCGTGGTGGCCACCTTCTTCGTTCGCCGACCGGTCTTCTCCTTCTCCTTCCCCTTGAACCGGTTGTCTTGGGGCTCATCCTCGTCAAGGATTTCCACGGTCTCTGGATTGACCGGGAAGGTTCTGGCAGTGTTGGCTTGGGAGCCCCCGGTCTCTCCAGCCGGTTGGTCGTCGGGGATGGCGAACTCCTCAAACTCCATATCTGCAAAAGGAACTAAAACTGTTAAGTACAAGCAATGGTACCGGTCAAAACGCAAATTACAAGAAAAGTAAAAGATACCTGGGTGGTTTTGGCCCTCAGCCTCTGCAGTGTTGCTCGGGGAGGGTACCCCGCGCCCCGCTGCTTCATGGGCCTGGGAGGTACCCTCACCACCCGACTCCACCCTCCAAACCCAGCTGCCATAATGGAAGATCCTCCCGGTGAAAGGATCCCCACGCATAAGGACCTCGAGATTCGCTTCCAAGTCTGGGGAGGAAGCCGGTGCAGCATACTCTTGGTCGAGGAGATGGTCGTTCCATTTCAGACCGGCCAAAGGAGTAACGAAGGGGGGAAACTCGATGAAAACAAACTTTTCCTTCCATCCCCGGTTACTCTGGGGGACTTTAGAAATGAACTTCCTACCGGTACGAGCTTTGAAGAATACAAAACCTTCGCAGCCAGATCCGCCCGGAAGGACTTCAAAGCAGAAGAAAAAAAGACGCAAAGAGGGGAAGATTTTCAAATGAGTACAGATATTTACAAAGGAATGGAGATACCGATGGGCGTTAGGTGTTATTTGACCGGGCAAAATCCTAAACGCATGGCAGACTTCGGTAAGGAGGGGGCGAAGGGGAAAAACAATGCCCGCATCCAGGGAGATCGTATGAAACCCTATCCTATCCTCCCGGTGGGGTTCAACAATGTTGGGCCAGTTAGGTTCATACAAAAGAGTATACCCATCCGGGAGCCTTCTACGAATTTTATTCAAGGCGATTTTGGACACGTGGGAGGGGATGTCAAGGACGTAGAAAGTGGGAAGCGGGAAGTAACCGGCAGCATGAAGCCGCTCCTCCCACGCATCCCGGGTTTCGTGTTCAGGGTCATAGGGGCCCGGTTCGTCATCGACCGGGTCATCCCTCCCCACGAAAGTTTCACCGGGCACCTGGTTAACGGGACGCGGGTCGGGAATAGAGTTGGGAACCTGAACGGGCATGGATTCAGGAGAAGAAGACCCGGTCGAGGAAGATGAGTTGGAGTCCTCAGAGGAGCAGTCCTCTGAGGACGAGATCCTATCGCTAAACGAAGACATGGCCGGGAAAGAAAAAAGAGAAGGAAGGGGGAACTTACTTGACTCGGAGGGCTGGATAGCGAAAGAGAAGGAACTTGACCGGTGAAAGCTCTGAGACTTGATCGCGGAAAGTGAACAAAGAAGAGGGGTGGAGGCCTTTATATAGGAAGAGGAGGGCTGAAAGGAGTGACGTGGCCTCTCCAGGTTGCGCTGCGTCAGGCGGCGCAATGATGACCTACTGGCAGGCGAAACGACGGGTGGGCCGCCGACCATTGCAACGACGTGTGTCCAACACGTGTCAAAAGTTCTGAGTTCAAATTTCAAATTTTGAGATTTTTGGGCGGGAAAAGCCTGAAATTCAAATTTGAGGTCCCGTTTTAGACTTTTTACTTCCCGCTCATGACAAATTGCATGACCGAAAAGTGGAGGGCTTATTGATGGGTGTATTCCACCCACGACCGGTCAAAGAAGAAGACCAATTAGTTGACCGGTCAATCTCGAAAGTTTTGGAAGGGAGACTTAAATCGTCGGCAAAACGATATATGATCGGCCAAAAGATGACCGGTATACTTCACGAAAAAGTATACCGGTCAAACTACTTTGTCCCCCTATTTTTCCCAAAACTCGATGATTTCATCCCACGGAGATTACCCGGAGTAGTTTTTAGGGTTGGAAAGTGTCGGCAGAAGAGGATCTGCGAGGGCTTGGCGTGTACCGACCCGTGTCAGTAGAAGACAACTGGAGATGCTGAAGAATCCATCCAAGGCACTACTCGACGAAGGGAATAATCCCCCTCACAAGGCGACAAGGCAGCTCAAGGACGAAACCAGTCACCTCGCACCACATCAGCATCGTGCCCCCACGTGGGCGCACGTGGTCCTGTCCCCCCTAGCCTAGTATATATACTCATGTAAACCTCAGAAAGGGGGATCCGAATTCATTCTCTCTAAACTCCCTTGTAAAAGCACCCGTGCATTCTCCGTTATAATATAAATTGGGCTACAGGTGTTCCACCTAAAGTCCTACCGGTCAATCTACGGGTTTTTACCTTTCTTACTTTGCCAAATCAAGCAAACTATTCTAGACCCGGTCTAGTACAGTTTGACCGGTCAAGTAATTTACACCATCAATATCTATGTACAAATATAGATATTAATGGTCAAAGTGCAATATTGGAGACCGTGAAAAGTCAAATGAGAAGAACATTTTCGAACGGAGGGAGTACTTTATTTCACAATTAACACTATGCTCAACATGATTCAAAGTGAATATTGTAGTTCAAAATGAATATTTTATTAATTTAAAATGGATATTCATTGAGTATATCTAACTCTACATAGAGACAAGTGTACGCTATACATTCTCTTTAAACTATTTTTGAATAGAATAAATTGTTCCTCTAAATCAATTTCTCAATAATGCTTACCAAATAACAAAGAGAATTGTAGACTCATTTAAGAATGTTCTAAGACTAAAGATTACATACATCAATACATCATCATAAAAACCTAACCTACATCATCCATCCAAGCTCACTCTTCCATCTACTCATCATCATCAGCACCAGTCTTTTAATCATCTATGGGTGCTTGATGGTAAATGAATGGAGTAAGAGAACATGATTATGGTGTCTCCATTCTCTATCGGCTTTGACAACTAACTTGTTGAGATTGTAGCATATAGTTGTATACTTCCCCTCTAATGTTTGAAGGCCTTGCAACTCTGCCACATGGTCAAGTGACGTTTGAAGTCATTGCAAAGCCTCATACAACATAGACTTGTGCAAAAAAAGTCCACCCCATCCACTACGTCAAAAACAGATGCTGACAACTGTTTCTTTTAGTAGTCTCTCGGTGCTGATTTCAGTAGTCTTCCGAGCAGCTGTCTGATATATCTACAGATTATTGTTTAAAAACAATTGTGTAAAATGGTTGACGACAGCTGTTTTGTAATTTTTTAGAGTACCACATTTTAGGGTTGTCCCCGTATGCGTAAGACATCTGTTTGTTAGAGTTAAAGAGAACTGTGATTTTTTTGTTGGCTATCTATAATGAATACTACTTTTTTTAACATTTCAAAACTCATACTTTTTCCGTCCCAAAAAGAATTTCTTACTTTGATCAACGTGTAAAACCTCGTGGTTTTTAAAATCATATTTTTTGCAAATTGGTAAAGAAATAACACATAAAAAATTATATTTAAAAGCTACATCGAGAACTCAACAAAATAAGAGGTGACAAGAGTATTTTATTTTATCAAATGATCAACAACCTTACATATAACTTCACTCAGATCAGATCAAATCAGACTAGATCTTAACATATTAGATCAGACAAGATCAGATCAAATAAGATATCATCAAATTACATTAAATCGTTGTTGGAAGAAACTGGAAGTACATATAGAAAAAATCGGAAGTTTTCACTCTTCCTAATTTCATTCTCCCTCTTCCCAATTTCATTCTCCCTCTTCCCAATTATCACCAAATTCATTTTCCCTCTTCCCAATTTCATTCTCCCTCTTCCCAATTATCACCAAATTCATTTTCTCTCTTCCCAATTTCATTCTCCCGCTTCCTAATTTTGTTTTTCCGTTCAAAGAACATCACTTACTCAATAGCCCAACCTTATCCGACCTTAATCGCCATCGCACCTGTGTTGTTAGAGAGCAAAGGATTCGCCGAGAGCCTTCGCCATCAGTCCCAGCCATCGCCGAGAGCCTTCGCCGTCAATCCCACTGCCCAGTGCCGGCTGCCCAGTCACCAATTCATAGCCTTCGCCGTCAGTCCCACGCCATGGAAGGTACTGTTCACTCAAAGTTTTATCTCTCCGATTCTATTGAATCCGGACACTTTTGATGGTTAATCTTGTGATATGTTGAGCAGTTTGCGATACGCCTCCTTCTTTTAAAGCTTGATTTCAGTTTCATTTGAATTCCCTCATGATTTGTGTATCTTATGCTTGGACACATTAGGTGTACTATTTACTAATTTGGGTCATCTCTAGGTGTCGTGTATCCCGTTTTGTTTTTCGAAAGGATCTAGGTTGGTTGCACTCCAAAAATAGTGCAAATTTCCGAAGGTCCTACGGTGCACACATCATGTTCGATGAAATGTCCCAATGATGTTCATAAATGGAACATCTTATTTTAACAGAGTACTCTTTGTTTCTCAGTCAGACTGCACAAGATAAATGAATGCAGTGGCAAATTATGCGTGTACACATTCAGTTTCTTGGACTATCATTCCTAGTATATCTAGTTGTGTTATTATTTTCTCTAAAGTTTTCAACATTGGCTTGATGAGTTTTTGACATTTGGGTTGTTCTGTTGGGTTAAGTTGGCTCTTAGTAGCCTTATTCATGAGATTTTTTGCTACAGTTTGCTATTACTAGCTTTGTTCTAGAGTTTTACTGCTTCTGTTTGGCTTGTATTTAATTTTTTTCAATAAGAATTTCCTTTTCTGCAAAAAAAAAACTCATGCATCCTCTACTCTCAATCATCATCTTCTTTTTAACTATAGAAGTTCCTTAGCTTCTTGAATAATTGCATTACACCATATTATACATTATTTGTTACATAATTATTGGAGCTAGCTAGCTTCTTACACCATGGGTAATCTAAATATGGAAAATATCTTCATTGAACATTCTTACCTTTGATGTTTATTTTAATACTTATGTTTATTAGTTTTGTTTGTGTATATATAGAAGTTCATTTTTGTTGCAGTGGAGCCAGCGGATAAAGTTAAACTAAAACTTGAAGCTCCCGGAGTTGTTGTCACATGAAGCCTCTAGAGGGATTGGAAGAGCCATTTCAAGGAATTGAAGTTACTTCTACAACTTTGAAGTGTTTTGCAAGTTTAAAGAGAAGTTTTGATTTTGTACATTGTACGTTCCAAATGCTAGATGTTAGTCTATGTATTAGAGTTATAATACTTATGCATGTTTTTCATGTAATAACATTTATTGGTTTGTTACGGAGTAAAACATACTCCGTATGTCTACTCTTAAAAAGTGAAATAATTTAAAAAAAATGTATGTCTGAGTACGATTGTAATAGCTAGTCTATAATAGTATTTTTTTTAAAATATAAAGTGAATTTAGACGGTGGATAAATATCTTCCGTCTAAAGTAATAACTTTACACATCGAATAAATTTTTCTTTAGACAACGAAAAATATCCAATGTATATTCAACCGATGGGAAAAGTCATGACCTTAGACAACGAATATTTAGCCGTTGTCTAAAGTTTAGACAACGGATAGATATCCACTGTATAAAGTCAAGACTTTTCCCATCGGTTGAATGTACAACGGATATTTTTCGCTGTCTAAAGCTAAATTTATCCAATGTGTAAAGCTTGTTTTGTAGTAGCGTATCCATTTTCATTGTAAAAAAGATTATCGTTACTCTGAACCTTTAAAATAGTTCCAGGCTTAAGAGCTAGACTACTGTTTAAAACGAGTATTCTTAACTTTATTTATTATAGATAACTGTGAAAAAAATGGTGTGACACACACTACTAGTAATACATTACGGTTTCTCAAAACTTTAAAAATAGTTCTAGGCTTAATAGTCTAACTACTGTTTAAAAAGGGTATTCTTAATTTATTATAGACAACTTGTAATAGATTACGGTTTCTATGAATTTAAAAAATAGTTCTATGCTATATAAATATACTACTGTTACAAGGGAGTCTTCTATTCTTATAATAAACAACTATGCAAAACAAAACCATATGAAACATACAACTTACAATAGAATACTATTTCTTATAAGTTTAAAAACAGTTATAAACTGAAAAACCAGACTACTGTTTAGAAATAGTAGTCTTAACTAATTTTTGACAACTTTGGCAACAAAAACTGTATTTTAAGATGAAACGGACTACTAATAAAAGATTACCGTTTCTCACAACTTTAAAAACAATTCTACCCTTACTTCATAGACTACTATTACAAAAGAGTCTTCTATTCCCAATAGAAACAACAGTGGCAAAACAACCATATGAAACAGACAACTAGCGATAGATAACTGTTTCTAATAAGTTTAAAAACAGTTCTAGACAAAAACACCAGACTACTGTTTAGATAGAGTATTCTTAACTTGTTATTGACAACTGTTGTAACAAA